GTCATTATTGTCATGTTTTAGGTCATACTATACAATATTGTCCTAAAAGGCTTACTCGATCTGACGGCAGTAATTCCAAGTCTCGGCATACTCGTGGTCCTCCTCAGTCTAGTACCTCATTCGTCGTAGGATTCGGAAGCTCTCCTTAAACAGATTCTCTTCCAATACTGTCATGTCTGCAACATCATGTAACCGGGAGGACCCTCAGGAGAGGCCGGAAGGTGGACGACTTATTTAAACTTGAGTAACTTTAGCTTTCTTGCTCCCCTATCTCTGCCGCTACCACGTCTACACCATCTTGCCTTCAGTGGCATCTCCGTCTCAGTCATGTGTCCTCTACTAAACTTAGGTATTTGATTAGTAAGGATCTTTTAGGTTCTGTCAGTTTCGAGTCTTTTGATTGTATGGATTGTTCATTGGAAAAACAATATGCTTTTTTGTTCCCTTATAGTACTTTTGTAGCAGATAAACCATTTTCATTAATTCCCTCTGATATTTGGGGACCTTTGTCCGTTGTCTCTGTAAATGGTTTTTGTTACTTTGTCATTAATGACTATTCTCATTTTACATGGATTTATTTTATGCGACATCGTTCTGAACTTTCATCTATTTATATGCAATTTTCTCACATGATTTGCACCTAATTTTCCTCCACCATCAAAACTCTCTGCATAGATAACGCCCTTGAGTATACATATTCTTCATTTCTTCATTTTTTGTCTACTCAGGGTAGCGTTGTTCAGCGCTCTTGTCCATACACCTCTCAAACAAACGGTCGTGTTGAACGTAAATACCATCATATTCTCGATACAGTCTGCACTATTCTCTTATTTACCTTTTATCCAGATCATTTTTTGGGGAAAACCGCGCTTAATGTTGTGTACATTATAAATCATCTCACTTTCTCTGTCATGGGTAAAGTCAATCCTTTTGAAAGAATTTTTAATCGCTCTCTTTATTATAGTTATCTTCATCCTTTCAGTTGTGTCAGTTTCGTTCTTCTTCCTTCTTATGAGCGCACTAAGTTAAAACTTCGCGCATGTCTATGCTGTTTCCTGGGATACGGGGTAGAGCATAAGGATTATCGTTGTTAGGACTCTATTTCCAATAGTTTACGTATTTCTTGTCATGTTACATTCTGATAACATACTAAGTTTTCTTTTTTATCCCACTTTTAAGTTCCCTTTGATTGTTCGTCTCACTTCTTTACTTTGTCCTCACCATCTCTTTTTCCTTCTGATGATGCGCCTCCACCTTCCGCTCCTGACGCCGTCCCGATTGCACCTTCTGAACCGACACTGACCCCCGAGCCTGATCCCGCACCACTACCAGAATCTAACACTACACCAACCTCAGACCTTAATCCTGGCCCACGCCGTTCCACTCAGGTTAGTCATCTCCCAACATATCTACTTGATTTTAATTGCTTCTTTGTCACTTGTCCCATCATGAGCCTAGGTTTTTTTGTGAGGCGTATGCGGACTCATTGTGGCGGCAGACTATGTCTGAGGAGTTACAGGCTTTAGAAAAAAGTAATACATGGAATATGATTGATCTTCCCCCTAAAAAAATCTATAGGTTGTAAGTGGGTATTCCTTATCAAAACCCACTTGGATGGATCCATCGAGCGCTACAAAGCTTGTTTGGTAGCTAAAAGCTACCCCCAAAAGTATGGAATCGACTATGAGGAGAATTTTTCGTCGGTTGCTCACCTCACCTTTGTCCATTGCCTTATAGCTATTGTTGTCGCTCGTCAGTGGCTTCTGCATCAACTAGATGTCAAAAATGTATTCTTGCATGGTGATCTATTCGATGATATTTATATGTCTCATCCTTCCAATTTTCTACGTCCTTTAAGGTATGCAAACTTCGTCGTGCTTCGTATGGTTTGAAATAGACGTCCCGAGCTTAGTTTTCGAAATTTAGCTATACTCTGCTCCAGCTTGGCTTTATTTCCAACTATCTTGACTCTGCTCTTTTTATTTGTCGCGGGTCTGTTCGAGTTACTATTTTGTTACTTTATGTGGATGACATGATCATCACAGGAGATGATCAGTCCGGTATCTCTGAGTTGTAGTATCATTTACACTGTCACTTTGGGATGAAGAGCTTAGGGCCTTTTCGGTACTTTCTCGGTCTCCGACGGATACTATCTCTTTTAAGCCAAGTATGCCTCTGATGTTCTGTCTCAAGTGGATCTCACTGACTTCAAGATTGCTCATATACCTCTTGATTATGTCTGCCACCTTACTCCGATGGATGGCGTCCCTCTTGACGATCATATATTGTATCGTTAGCTAGTGGGAAGCCTTATCTGCGTGACGATTAGTGGACTCGAAATGCTTATGTTGTTCATGTTGTCAGTCAGTTAATGTACGTTCCTCGGACGAGTCATTATTCAGCTCATTCGTTCTTAGTATTGACTGGGTATTCTGACACTGATTGAGTTAGGGATCCCATTAATCGCTGCTCGACCACTAGTGTCATTATTCAGTTTGGGGAAAGTTTTCATGAATCACCTTGGCTCGGAACTTCTCTAACATATAACTCAATACGATGAATAGATCTTGGTAAATATCTTTTTGGTTCTTATCTTTACTGTAAGAATACCTTTTGAGTTAAATTTGGCTTACGGTTGTCAAAACAATATGTTGACATAAACAATTTAAGCCAATATATATATATATATGAAACTATAAAGGTAATACAAAAAAATATGTTAGTTTTGTACGTTGTTGTTCAAATTGGTAGTATAATTATGGGTATAATTCACATATCAAATTTACATTGGTTGATAATTGAAACATTATTCGTTGGTTGATATACAGATTTAGAATATAACATTTCCTTTTAAACTATTCAAGAGTGAGAATAGTTTTGAGAGAATTTAAGAGATGAATAAATAAATAAATAATAATGATAGAACATATGTAATTTAATACTTGAGTTTTGGTGGCTTTAAATCTTCTTTAATCTACTTTTGATGATGTTGTAAAATCTTAAAAATCGACATAAATTGATTGAGAGTGGTAGTTGAGGTGTAAGAGGAAACTCCATGGATTTTTAGAAAAGAATGAAATTCATGATTAAACTTTTTTTTGTATTTTAAGTGTTTTCTTTCTTTTTTTTTTTTTTTTTTTTTTTTTGAGGGGATTGATTTTTTTAGGAATTTTCATGGTGAACAATAAAAAAGAAGCTTAAGTCAATTCGGGCTTCAAATAATTAACATATAAAAGTTTTTGGAATGAAAATGCAATTAACCTCACAAATTAGAGTAAAATGATATGTCTAAGTTAATTCGGACTACATTTGAACAATACTTTAATTGTACACTAACAATTCATTTGTCAAATTGACTATTATTTTGTATAACATGGAAATTTACAGCCGTTATTGTTCGAATACATTCTGAATAAACTTCAGTTCAATACGGTTACAAATTTATCCCGCACCACTAAGTCATCCATTTTGAGAGATATTGATACGTAGAAGTGTGTGAATATAAAAAATCTTCACTTGATATCCTAATTATATTGATTGATTTACTTATTCTATCATCTTGGCTTTACAACATGTTGGAAATATCTTACAACACTCATCATGAAAATAAATAAATATAAGATTGTGTAACTATCATTTGGTTCCAACCTTTGCTTTACTTATTTTTTTCTTTTTCTTTTTCTTTTTTCATATGATTTAGATGGAAACATCTTTCCAAACTATGAATGCATTTTCTAAAGCAACTTTTGTGAAACACACGAGTAGTTATGCATCATCTACAAATTATTTAATTATGTATATATTTAAGCTTCGTTCATACAATGTTTTTAAATTGATTGATTTTTTGTGTGTGACATGAAAAATTATATCAAAAGTATATAATATATTATTTTAAGTGGAATATATTTGACTTTTTGATTTTTTTAATAAGTATTTGAAGTTTTTTTTTTACTTTTTCTTATATTTTTTATAAAAAAATTTTTGTATTGTTTATTATTATTTTTAGGGAATCGCAATTGAAACTTTGTATTGGGAAAACAAAATGCTAGTGTTTTTTTTTTTATTTATTTATTACCCTGTCAAACAAATCAATTTTTATAAAAAGTAAAACTTAACAAATAATAATAAGAATAATCATAACTAGTTCAAGTTGATTTTTTTTCTTTTTTATTATTTCAACAATTCAGTTTCAATTATATTTCATTAGAGTGGAAAAAACGCGCATGGCCCGAAACTTGGCCAAAAAAAAAGAAAAAAGTTAGGCTGAAAAAGTTTTTAAAAAATAAAATGTTGAAATTTAAATATTTAAAAAATAATTAATAAACATATTACATAATTAATAACTCTAAATCTCTAATTCAAAAATTAAAGTATTCAATCTTTTGACTCATTGTCTTCGTCTTTATAAAAAAAATACTTAAAAAAAATATCAGAGTTGTCCTGATTTTTTGGCCAAATTAGAAACTATGCCAAACTAATCCAGCCTGGTTTCAAAATTGTGCTCCCCTCTATCCAAAAATATTAAATGTGTTAATGTTTAATTTGAATTTGTATTGAAATTTTAGTGAGAAAATTGAAAAAAAATAAAAAATCTTCCACTTATACTCATTATCACTTCTGCCATTTATTTATCTCGCTAGCAAAAATATATTTTACATGTTTACAAAAATCACAATTTTTGTTCTTTGGCCGCGTGTCACGCGCGGTCAAAAGACAGAAATAACGACTTTTGCATGTAAAATATATTTACACAGAAATAACCTCTTTCATTCATAAAATACTAATATCTCATTATTAGTACCAACTAAACTCAAACTAATTAACTCTCTAACATGCATCTCCTTAACAACCCTAACAAAAAAAAATGACATAATTTAGCGAATTGAGGGAATAATCTTAAAAAGATACATTAAATTTGGTGTATTTATAAAAGTCCCTCCTAATTGTGTGCCTATAAATATGGAAACAACTTTGTCAAGAAATGTCAAGTTTCACTTCAAGTCTCAACACAACATTACATCTCTCTCTTTCTCTAGCTAATTCATCAAGTTTCACAAAATGTCGAGTGCCGTGGCGAGGAACTATATCCTACTCTCCCATTCTATTACACTTCTCACCTTGCTTTTCTTGTTGCCTATTTTTGTCTACTCTAAAACCAATTCAAATTGTGATCAATCTTCTCTATCGGCCTTGAAAAGTCGTGTTGTATTTGATCCTCACGAGGTTCTAAAAAATTGGACTTCTCCATCTTCAGTTTGCACTTGGATTGGTGTCACATGTGACATAGGTCACCATAGGGTTATTGGATTGAATATTTCCTTCATGGGTCTTGTTGGAAGCATTCCTCCCGAGTTTGGAAATTTGTCGTCCATAATTTCGCTTGATATCTCTGGAAACAACTTCAGTGGAACTTTACCAGAAGATTTGATTCGATTGCGAAGATTGACTTACATGAAACTTAGTGAAAATAATTTTCATGGGGAGATTCCCTATTGGCTTGCTTCATTTCCTAAACTTGAGTTCTTATCTCTTGCATCTAATAGTTTCACTAGTTTGAACTCATTTATCCAATCATTTTTAAATGAATCGAAGCTTGAAACCTTGATCGTGTCTTTCAATCCTTTCAATGGTGAAATTCCAAAGTTTTCAAGCAATCTTAAAAATCTCAAAGTACTTTGCATGAATAGCAATGGATTTTTTGGGAGCATTCCCCCTTCAATCATGAACGCGTCGAGTTTACGGATTCTTCAATTGACAAATAATTCTCTTCAAAGTATGATACCGGAAGCTCTTGGGAGTGTTCGAAACTTGAATGAGTTACATTTGTTTGGCAACAATCTTTCAGGTTCGATATTATTTCTTTCATCACATATATATATATATATGTAATTGTGTGTGCTTGTTAAGTTTAACTAGTTATTACTTGCAATTGATGAATCAATTGGGCATATTTCATTGTAGAACTTTGACAAACAAATTTCTTCACAATGTTAATAAAAAGGTAATAAATCTAATATTAAAATTATTATTCAAAGATATAATTTAAATTTGAAATTTTACATTAATTTTTTGAAATTTTTTAATAATTTTTTCTTAATCTATGGCTAGCACTCATTAAACGATAAATTGTTTATATAATGCAAAAAGGAAAGATTTTTTGTTAAATAAAAAATAAAAAATTAATAATTTACATGTTGTTTGGAATTATAAAAATAACCTATCCATGTAATTTTAGCTCTATTTACTATGTAACCTTATAAAAAAAATATTATTTTTCCAACAAGATTATTTTCAAATTACTGTTCAAACTAAAATTCAAAATCTTGTTCACTTTGTATTGTATGTGTGTGTCTAGGTTTTTAGTCACCGATTTTCTTATCGTTTAGTCTCGTAATTGGAATCTTATAAAAATCGTCTTGTAAGTAAAAATTTTTGGCAAAATTAGTTCTATGGCGCCGAAGATGCGCACATGATACCCATATGGTACTAGAGCACATGTATCCGTCAGGTAGGCGCTCCAGATGGACATGTAGATTTCTTTTGTCTTATAACTGACCTTTTATCATTTCCGTAAGGTTCTTTTTTTCTTTTCTTTTTTTTTTTTTTTGCATCTATCTAGCGGCATGTGTGCTCCGACATGGCAGACGGATGCCATGTGCGCATCTCCGACGTCGGAGAACCAATTGTACCAGAAAAAGAATACTCAGTTTTCTATACAGGCGTCAGTTACTGAACTAAAATGATAAAAAATTAACTTACAAAGCTATAAAAAAAAAAAAAAAAAAAAAAAACAGTTTTGAAAAAAAATAAAAGAAAAACTAATTATCAATCTATCATAATGGTGTAAGTAGTAACTATTTCATTAATCATGCATATCTAAATGCTAAAATTAGTAATATATGTGTATATATATATTAGGGATGATACCACAAGGAATTGGAACTTTAGAAAAGCTGAAGAAATTATACCTCTCTAACAACGAACTATCAGGTATGATTTAAATTTGAAGTATTATAACTTTGTACTTTTAGCATTTTTTTTTTTTTTTCTATTTTATAACTGTGTACTTCCAAGAAAATATATTCTTATATTTGGCAATACATGATATCATATCATTATATATTGAGGTATAAACTCAAGTTTCATATTGAAAAATTCAACAAAATAAAAAAATAAAAAAAAAAACTTATATTTTATAAGTCTCACGTAAATTTCACTAGTACAAGGCTTAACAAATTCTTACCGACTCGATCTAAAATGGACAATTTCATACCAATGTTGAATTGGAATAATCTTAATACTTTTCAACTAAAAAAATATACGGAAAAAAAAAAAAAAGAGCAGTCATATTATTATTATCATTATTATTATTATTATTTAATAATATTATAAATGTTTTAAATTGTAAAATATTTTTAAAGCATGGAGTTAGGCTTGTATTATTCAAAACAAAAAAATCATTGAAAAATATTAAATCAAGTCCCCATTTTCATTAATATTTAATGTCGCAAAGAAAAATGAAACAACATACTAAATACTATCTCAATTAAAGTATTCTCAAACTCCATACTCAAATTACTATTTTTCTCAAATAAAATGTTTCAAATCCAGAGTTCTAAATAATACATCCACAACCATTATTATAAACACTTTTTAATAAAAATATTTTGCATGAGAAAGTAAACATGGAAAATACAAATAAACACATATATATTGATAATTTATATTTGAAATTACATACAAATAAAATCTTCTTATTACCATTATGCACAAAAAATTAATATTTGAGGATTTTCTTTGAATTATTATAGAAAAAATAAAATAAATATTGTAGTTTTTAGTTTGAATTCTAATTGTAAATTATTGCTTAGTTAATTATCACATTAACAATTATTCTCTCTCTGTTATTTCAGAATTATATCATACCAAAATGCTTGTGATGCATGGGAAAAATTAAATTAATCTTTATATATAGAAAATATTACTAATTTATATTATTTCTTGTTTTTTTTTTCTATAATCTATATTTTAACAGGTTCGATACCATCAAATATTTTCAATATTTCAACCTTGGAGTCTATAAATTTCGACCACAACCAGTTGTCGGGTGCACTTCCCGATAACATGTGTCTTCGACTTCCAATTCTCCAAGAGCTTAGGCTATACAATAATACGATGGGCGGATATATTTCATCAAAATTTAGTTCATGTTATCAACTCCGGATACTTTCGTTGGGATTTAACAAGTTTAATGGAACCATACCAAAAGAAATTGGGAATTTAAAGAGGTTGCAAGAATTGTATTTTCACTTCAATAAATTTACAGGTATGATGTTTTGCTTGAATTTATTAAAATTAATTTGTATCTAAATATAAATTGGGCTAATTATTCTTATTTATGTTTTAGGACTGATACCAAAAGAAATTGGAAGATTACAGAAGCTTGAATGGTTGGATTTTGGCAGCAATATGTTATCAGGTATATATATAATCCCATAAATATTGGCGAAATAATTTGCATTTAATTAAGTATAGGGTTGTGCCATATAAATATGTTCATTGTGTTAAATCAATCATATATCGTTCTATGTGAAATTAAATCACGTCAATATTACTACAAAACTCAAACCGAAAAATATTAGAGATTTGAACTCACGAGCTCACAGCCATAAATATATCCCCACAATATCAAGTCACATCTTTTTAATATTTTGCAAATATCAAATAAGTTCTATATATAAAAATTAGTATATATATATAAACATAAATATATATTCCCTCCGTCCGGCTTTAAGGGTCTCATTCACCTTTTGCGTAATTGTACTTAACATTAAAAAGATCCTTATATTTGTATAATTTTTCTTTTTATAAATGTCCTTCTATTAGTATTATAAGACACTAATATAAGTATTTTTGTAATTTTTCTTTAATTTGTACTACGTTTTAATATAATAATTGATATTAAAAAATCAACACACAAAAAGTAAATGAGACCCTTAGAGCTGGACGAAGATAGTATAATGGATCTCCTATTTACATTGAGCATTAAGCAAGCGCTCCTTTCGCCCAGACTCGGGCGAGTCTTGGATGTTTACTTTAAATTATTGTATGATAATATTTTAATGGTGTTCATATTTACTTTTGAGTAAAATTATAAAAATTCATATCTAAATTAAATGCTAGAATTATTAACAAATTTTTTTATTTTTTATTTTTTAGGAGCTATACCAAAAGAAATTGGAAATTTAAAAAGGCTAAAGGTATTAAATCTCTATTACAATGAGCTATCAGGTACGATTTATGTTTTGAAGTATTATATATTTTTAGACTTTGGCATATTCCATATGATGTAAATTAATTTCTATGTTCTTTGTTAGAGATTAATAGTATGTTTTTTCTATTTAATTATTCTTTACATTTTGTATTTGTGTTTTAAATTATTTTTTTAAATATAAAATAGTGATTAGATGTAATATTTTATTAAAAATATATATACTATATGTGATATTTTTTTAAAAAAAAAGAAGTAAGTGTATGATAATATGAAAATAGAAAATTAAAATTACAAGAGAACCTATTTAGAAAGCTATGTTTAATGTATATAAATAATTATTCAATCTTTTATACGATAAAATTTGAGGAATACTATAGCAATATCTTTGAAAACTTAAATAAAGACAGGTGTATATTCTCAATTTCAGTTGCATATACTTTAAGTTGCCATAATTTTATTAGATAATTTAATAGTACAATTTTGAATTTCAAAAGTTATTGATTTGATATAAATAGATAAAGATATAACATTTTGAACATAAATTTAATTTTTAATATAATATAAAAAAATAAAAATTAATTTAATATTTTCAGAGGAAAAAAAATAATAATTACATAATTAGTAAAAAAATTTTAAGAAAAATCATAAAAGAATGCAACCTTAAAACTTTCATTTTAATGAATGATAGATTAAAATAAGAGAATTTATGGTCTAAAATTACATGAACAATCATCATACTTAGAGACTAAAATTATTAATTATTTTGTATATATTTTTAGGAGTGATACCACAAGAAATTGGAAATTTGAAAGAGCTCAAGGAATTGTATCTCAATGGGAATGCGTTATTCGGTAAGATCGATATTTTGAAAGTATTATATGCATTTGTCTCTTTGAATTTTTTTACTTCGAATGATTGAATTATAGTTTTAGGGTTATTTCGATGAATTATTTAATAAATAGATTAATTAATATAGTGTGTTTATTTTATTTGAATAAATATTAAATAAAATTGTATTGGGTTTATTTTATTTGATTAATAACCATACATAATTAAATAAATGTAGTAGTTAATAATGATTTGAAATAAATCGAACTTATGCTCTTTTAAATTTTGGTAATAGGTTTTATACCATCAACCATCTTCAATATTTCAACCCTAGAAAGCATGATCCTCTATGACAATCAATTATTGGGTACTATTCCTAATTCTTTGTGCTTTGGACTTCCAATGATTGAGTTGTTGTACATAAGCCAAAATCACATAGAGGGACAAATTCCATCCAATTTTACATCATGCCTTCGACTTCGAGTTTTGGGATTGTCAATGAACAATATTTTTGGAGTCATCCCCGACGAAATAGGGAGATTGAAGAGGCTTGAATGGTTGGACCTCGTCGACAATAAAATTACAGGTATGATTTTGCATTTTCTTTGGAGAGTAATTTGTAATATCTTTGTCCAGCTCAAAGGGTCTCATTTACTTTTTGCGTATTGATCTTTAAATATTAATTATTATATCAAAACGTAGAAAAAATTGCAAAAATACTTTAATTAGTATCTTATAATACTAATAGATTGACATTTGTACGAAAAATTATACAAATATAAGAATATCTTTAATGTTAAGTACAATGAGTAAATGCAACTCTTATAGACGGACGGAGGTAATATTTTTTTAAAGCTGAAACGGTTGGTATCTCCCTCTACATACTAAAGTTGGGGGTTCGAACAAATGTTTGAACCGCATAGGGGTGGATGTGTGAGTTTAAAAAATAAAATGGTATTTTGAAACATTAAATACAATTAGTTGTATTACCAAGTCTCTTTCCGATTAAATTTTATTTCGAAAGTTAATTATAAACTCCAATAAATTAATTTCAGGTAGAATACCTTCTAGCATTGGAAATATGTCAAGACTTAGTGTTTTAAGACTTGGCTACAACAAGCTTATCGAAGATATTCCATCGAACATTTGCAATTTGAATTCCCTCGAGTATCTTGATCTCTCATACAATAGCTTGAAAGGCACACTACCCGAATGTATGGGAAACTTGAGGAAATTGATCGTGTTAAGCTTATCGACAAATGAGTTTGAAGGTCCTATTCCTACATTTATCAATGGATGTGCCCTCAAATATCTTCAATTGAGTAGGAACCAATTAGTTGGAACCTTGCCTCGATCCTTGTCTCGTTGCACACAAATGTCGGCTTTTGATGTTGGCTATAACAAGATACACGACTTATTTCCTATTTGGATGGAAACTTTACCCGAGCTTCAAATTCTTAGCTTAACTTCTAATAGATTTTATGGAACGATACCTTATTCAAACAAGAAGATCTCATCATTTCCCATGTTGAGAGTACTCGCTATTTCCAACAATAATTTCACCGGTCGCTTATCAACAACATATTTGAAGCATTATAAAGATGTACTAGATACAAAGGGACAAAGGCGAATGTATTTAGACATTTTCTTCTATAAAGGCTTGGTGAAGATGGATTGGTGGACCGAAACTATTATCACTCTAAAAGGTATATCAACGAACTATAGCCGGATGCCATTGGCATTTACTATGATTGATATGTCCATGAATAACTTCTATGGAAGCGTTCCCTATTCCTTTGGCGATCTTGTCAATCTTCGACACTTAAACTTGTCTCACAACAACCTCACGGGCCATATTCCTACGAGTTTGGGGATCTTAAGTGCACTAGAGGCATTGGACTTGTCGTCGAATGGTTTGAGTGGGGAAATTCCAAACCAATTGACAAACCTATCATTTTTGGCGAAGTTCAATGTATCATATAACAATCTTTCGGGAAAAATACCTCAATCTGGAGGGCAATTTGTGACATTTGAAAATAATTCTTACATTGGAAACTCGGAGCTATGTGGACATCCGTTGACGAAAAAATGCGAAAATGAAAATGTGTTACCTTTGGCCCCTCCCCCGAAATCTTTTGAAGACGATGGTAAGGATGAAGGAATATTCGATGGAATCAATTGGCAAGGCATTCTCATGGGGTATGGCTTCGGATTATTAATAGGAGTCGCCCTCGGCGTCGTATATTTTTAGGTAAATACTAATATATCTATATATATATATATATGCTTTGTTAATTTGGTATATTTATTTCATAATATTGCCTTCAATTTCATTTTGAATCGATACATACGTCATTCGAATTAATTTATGTTGGATGATTCTCATTTGTAGATAAATAAATAAATAATGCATATTTCAGATAGTTTAAGTTTTTAAATGAGACGGTGATTTAAATATTCTAAAATAGTATCAGAATCTTATGTCTCTAGTGGTGAAATGATAATTTAAATATTATAACAATTTAAATATTTACTTTATATTAATTCATTTTTATTTGATAATTGTTGTGGATTTTAACTATTTGCAATATTATTCCTAATTGCTTATATATGTTTGATATGTGATAAGAATTAGGACAACAAATTGGAAACATGTTTGAATAACAAGAAATGAATTGTCTACTTAATTTTTTTATTATTATTATTTGTTATCCTGCAGTTTCAACCAATGCTATGTCAATAAGTTTGATCAGGTTTTATGCTAAATTTTTAATATTATTATTATTTAAAATGCCCTTTTTTTTTTTTTTTTTTGTTTATTATAGTGTTTTGAGAATTGAAAAAATGTTAGTTTAAAATAATTATTTGATATAATTGTATAAATAGGCGTCAAATATAATATTTTAAATATAAAATATTTTTATATGTAATAAAGTAAATAAAAATATACGTAAAATATAAGAGGTTTGTTCATTTAGTAATTTTAGATAAATAATTTTTTTTATAAATATTATTAAAAATTGTAATATACACAATTTAACGTAATATATACTATAATATATATTTTATTACTTTAGAAGTATTTAATTTGTCATTTTCAACTATCCATATCCAAATCTTAACTTGTGTTTTTTTTGTGGGTTTTCCCCAAATTTTTAGTATTCATATTCTTTTTTTTTTTTAAATATCAAATCAAACAATAATTTATTTTTTTATATTTTATTACAACTTTATTTTACATTCAAAATATCACATCACATCAACCATCAAACAACTATTCAAATTCAACTTTTTACTGTTAAAAAATCCAAACAAAAAAACTAAAACCCACAAACAATAACACCCTTAATGTTTTTTAATATAAACTCCATTATATATTATAAATATATTAAATTTATATATATTTATGTCAATATTTATACATTAATTTCTTTATATATATAAAATATCATCACTTACAAAGTTTGTATGGTTGTATATTTAAATTTTAATTAAAAGTATTTTGATGTAATATTTTATAAAAAAAAATATATTTTTATTTATTTGTAAGAATAAATAGTGTCAGTTTATAGAGAATCTTGGTGGTTGTATTGTAAAGAAATTAAAATTAAATTTCAAGTAAACAACATGATAAACCTTGTGATGTCAAACATCGAATTGCATGTGTGTGGGATTTGAGTGATCTTTTCATAGATTTTTTTTTTTTTTTTAAATAATAGTTTTGATATTATATATTCTCTTTGTTTTACTTTACTTGTGGGTTTTTCATAAATACAAGAATTTAGATTAAAAGTATAATTAATAACTAATTAAAAAGTATATTAGTTAAAATAATTATTATATAATACAAATAATCATATATTAATATTAAGATAATTAATTAAGTAATTAAAATAATGAAAAATTATAAATTATGAAACTTAAAATACAATTAAAGTGTTATTTTCTAAAAAAGGAAAATAAAAGAATTATAGGAGATCGACTAAAATTTAAAAAAAAAAAAAAAAAAAAAAAAAAAAAAGCAAATAGATATATCTATTGTAATAAGGTTCAACAAAATCTAAACAAATATGTTTCTTTAGATGAGTTTGGAAAAAAATTGGTTTGAATTTTGTATTAAAATAATGTATTATGGAATGTTTTGTGAGAGAAAAAAATATATTTTTTTTTCGAAAAACACAGAGTCCAAATAGTAAAAACATGGGATTGAGGTAAAAAAAACATACTATCTCAATATTAACAAAGATAATTACGTCAACAAATAGCAAATAATAACTAACATCTTCTATAATCTTCTTAACAACACATTGCTAACGAAACTAATTGATGCGATAGTATTAACACCAACAATCTATATGCGTAGTCAAGAGTAAATCATCTTGTTAAAATGTTAAATCGGTTGTAAATTCAAGTTTTTCATCTTGAATGTGACTTCTAAAATATCTAAAAGCTTTCCATCTTCATTTCCGAATTATTGAAGGGGCGGCGATTACAAGCTGATTAAAAATAATCAGCATCGCGCTGATAACATAATAATATATATCAAATAGTACATTAAATAAAAAATTTACAACACGCATATAAAATAAAAGTAAGAGCACATACTAATATTTTATAGAGCATACGTTGCCTGTTATATTTTCGTATGTTATCTATTGCATTTTCATATATTGATCAGCATCCTATTCGCAAAACTCTTCTTTTTAAAATTGGTTCTCTCCCCCTCACACTTTGAACTTGTCGTTGAATGGTTTGATCGGGGACATTACAAATTGGCAAGCCTATCATATTTTACGATGTTCAATGTATTATACAATAATCTTTCGAGAGAAATATATACCTCAATTTGGAGGATATTTTGTTACATTTGAGAACAATTGACACATTGAAAACTTTTGTCCCTTCTTTGGGCATCCATTGGCAAAAAAAAATAAAAAATTGCTACAATGGAGATGACTACCTTTGTCCCTTCCTTGGAAATCTTTAGAAAATGATGGTAAGAATGAAGGGATGTTCGATGGATGTCTTGACAAGAGAGTCTCATGGGGTATGGCTTCGAATTATTTTAATTTGAGTCGCCTCTATAGTTTTAGGTAAATGCTAATTGTTAATTTGCTACATTTATATCATTGTCTATCAATTCAATGGTGGGGTTAGAAATTTCATTTGATGGAGGCTAATTATTTTTTTTTATAATATATGAAATATATATATATATATATTTTTTAAAGTACATGGTATTATTAAAATCGAACTCACAATCAGCATAAATATTAAATATAAAATATATTTAATTTAAATAGATCGAATTAATAGATAGGTAAGGCCAGACATAACTCGATTTTCATCGGCCCAGGCACGGCCCAATTTATGGCGTGCCGTATGACCTGAAAACTTTTGGCTTATTTTTGGATGCTTAAGCACAATTTTTTCTTACTGAATTCAAATCGAAATTTTAAACAATACCAATTTGTCTTACGCCGTGTGTACATTTGGGGCGTTGTATTATTTTAATAAATTATATAAATAAATAATTTAATATTTACTTTAATAAAACATTGGTAGAAATTATAAATTTTTTTTAAAATACCCATAATTATATAATAAAACAAATATTAAGTTAACTATTAATAAAGACAAAATAGTCTTTTTAACATTAATACTACCTTATATTATTTAATCATATCTAAAAGACTGTTACTAATCTATAATTATGCTTCTATCATGTGATATTAAACAGCACATAATATTACTACAAACAATACATTGTATATGTTAAATATAATATAAATACAATAAATAAATAAAACACATGATATAATCTCAACAGCACATAATATTATTATTACTACAAAACAGCACATTGTATATGTTAAATATGATACAAATACAACAGTTGATTTTTAGCACATTGTTATTATTAAAAAAAACAGTATATACCTTTATTATACACATCTGTTTAATATTAATGTATGATATTTGTATATATATAATGCGCGGTGCTTATTTATTCATACAACCAATTTTTGAATGCTAAAATTTTCCATAAATATTACAAAAAAATAGAATATATACATATATAATATATATTTTATTCAGCCACAAAAAATTAACAATTTAACACAAAATATTTTCTTTATATCACCAACACAATTTTCATACCTAACATAAATAAATATATTCATCTAAGAATATAAAACGAACACAACCATAGTCAGATTTTGATTATAATTTTATTATTCCAAAATGTTTTCCTCCAAAAGAACAACAAATCAAACACTTTTTTTACATTATTTCTAGAAAAAAATATAATTTTCTATTCAAAACATCACATCAATACATATTTATATTTCATCAAATAACTGTTTCAACTCAAAATTTTACACTTCAAAACCAAATCCCAAAACCTTACAAACACACCCACCCTACTATTGTTATGAATGAAGAAAATTAGTAAAATTCTCAAAAGAAAAACTTCCAAACCACTTATGATACATAAAGAGAAATGGCAAATACATACATCCACAACACAATTATTAGCATAGCAGCACTTGACTAGTCTATTATTATAGAAGTGGTAAAATGCTGGGCTGCTGCATAATAACAAAAAATACAAACGGAGTAATTGATTAACTGTAATTACCTTATTTATATCCATCCATCAGGATTAATCTTTCTCCACCAGTTTGGTTCTCCCTGCAATCTCACACACAAAGAACAACCAATCTAATCTCATCTGTTGACAACAAATAAAAACAAACACAAACAAGACAAAAGCATGCGATCGAGCTATTACGTCGTACAGCTAACCAAGACTTCTTCATGTTACAAGACAAGAAATCGAAATTTTCTGCAGCAACAAATAAACAAAGACAGCTACAAAGATGACCAATTAAGGGAGGATGAGACTGACTGACTGACTGACCAAAACTGAAAACACCCCACCCCCACCCCCACCCCAACACGAAAGGTGCAGGAGAGACGAGACGACAATCACAAATCATAATACAATAATAACATGATAGATGATCGATGGATAAGGCTATAGGTGGAAACCAGAAATAATAATGTACATGCTACGGCGGCCTTGAAAAGTAACAGAGATCCTGTGTTACTTTATTGTTATTATTATTGTCATCATTCCAGCACTGCAACCTCCTGATCAACTCTCCAGTAGTTGGCATCGTTGAATTCCTTCATCCCACCTCCATCTTCATCTGAATCCTCCTTCTCGGGTTTCTTTGGGCTCAGGCTTTTCTTCAGCGGTCCGGCTTCCCCGACTATCCCTTCTTTCAGGGCATGCTCCATAGCCTTCTCCGTGCCTTCCAACTCAACACCCACAAATTCAACATCCTCTTCAAACAAAGACGGAACACTTCTCTGACTCAACTCAGATTTAGCCGAGCCATCAGAACCGATTGTCCCATTTGAGGTCGAGCCTCCACTTGAAGTGGGGCTGACAGGAGCAGCAGGGCTAGTGTGGATTGGTTGTAAGAGATTTCCAGTGTTGGTGTTCGGATCGATGAATGGGTTTGTGCTGGATCCCCCAACTTGAAAATCTGGTCCTTCTCCCCATGATACCCATTCGGGCATTGGCCTGTCCACAAATGGATCCTCGTTGTCTGGTGTCTCAAAACGCAAGAAACCCAAGTCGTTAGAAGCAGCAGAGTTTTCATTCTGGGGCATGGATTCTGCATCGTTCCTAGAATTGTTCTCATTGTATTCTCTGAAGAAATTTGCATCGAATGCAGATTGTCCATTACCAGTTTTACTGTCGGTCATTTCCTCATCCTGCCCAACCACTACCTCATCATCACTGCTGCTGCTGCCACCGTTAGATAGTCCGTTCAGATTAATATCTTCCATCATGTCAGAAGACAAGGTGGTCATAGGCATGTCGCTGCCGTTTCTGTCATCTTGGAATGCAAACCAGTTGGAATTTGTGAACAAACTGCTGCAGAGATTAATATAAAAAGTCAGATAACAATGATATAAACCACAAAGTAACTTGTCGGTTTCACAAGTCACAAATGTATGAATGGTCTGATCCTTCCTATGGAGTATTTACAAAAGAAAGTAATGATTCAAATATTGTTATAGAAAAACTGAAGTCATCTGCATCCATTCGTGAATCAAATCCAAAGTTTCTTAGTTGGGACACCTAATTTATTAATAATAGAAAAATAAAAATCACTACGGCACAGGTGCCGCTAACATCATGGAAATGACAAGACTTACCTCCCTTGATCATCACCCAACCTCAAGGACGAAATTACAACTTCAGCAGATTCATCATCGAAGTAGACATCCTACAAATTTATCATGTTCAAATTAATTAGAGAGAAGACATACAATTGTTTATGTGCCTTGTAACTAAATAATTTGAAGTAAACAAAAATTCCCTTCTCTAGTTACACAAATGATCTTTACCTCGTCATCTCGACCATGATCGCGAGAACCCTGACCCTTAAGAAAGAATTCATGAGCAGCTTAGAGAAACAGAATTTGCATTTTCAAAATAGCTGCAATAAGTTTTTGCTGCTTCATAGACAATTACCTCAGCATCATCATTGTCATATATGGTGTATTTAAATGCCTGGCTTAGATTATTTGCCAGAGCTGCAACATCATAGTCCCTATCATGTATATCTTCTTCATCGCTATCCCTAATCCTGTCTTGCAGTGCAGTGGGTCGCCTGCAAAGGACGGAAAATTGAATCACATCCAAGTGAGTGATTAATTAAGTGTAATTTGATAGATCCAGATAAGCTAGCAAAAATTAGACTTTCGACAATATTGAATCAGAAAGAGGCATACCCACAAGCCCATCGATGAACATTCTCCACCATGTTACGTTCCTGCAAGGTGGTTGTCTGCCACTCATTCCACTTGCTATTTTCCTGAAGCAGAAAAGTGGGCAAATTTTTATTTAGACGTAAAATACCAGAAAATCATTAAATACAAATTAGAAAGCCCCACAATTTTATTAATTCGAACATCATTAGTCCCAGATGCATACCTGAAGATGAGTTTGAATAACACTATCACTGTTTCCCAGCTGAATCAGTTTATTGGATATTCGTGTCAAGTGCCCTAAATATCCTGCTTGAGGAGGCCGTCGACTACAATCCACTAGTGTTGGCTGCATTTGATTGGGCAAATACCATATATAACATGTAAACCTTTGTATTTGTCATGCTTAAAAATGGTTAACCACATTTCATAGTCTAAGTGAGTGATTAATTAAACTGAAAGATACATACAGTTTATTCACATCAATAAAATGTTAAAATACAACTGCAATTCATTTTGTAAGCACATAAAATATTTTTAAATAGATAGATTGCAACTGAATATTAAGGAATTTGCAGTTCCAATTTCCTGATTCTCAAATGGGTTATCTCTCATCTCATCCATCAAGTGCATGGTTAATAAAGCTACAAAATATTACAGGAACTTAAAAACATTCAAAACAGTGACAATTATCAACAAGAATTTACCTGATTAGGTACACAAGAGAGTACGGGGCTTTCATCAGCTTGAAGAATCCTCCCAACCAAATTACAATCAAGAAGAATATGATTAACAATGGCACTATTTTTGCTTTCCAGGCATGAATATATAATCCTCTCCACATGATGATGCAAAGCATTGTTGTATGGATACCTGCACCAGATGAATTAGATCATAACAGCCAGTAATGGCAAACCAAACTCCGGACATCAAAGAGTCACACTAAAGATGAGATCAAATATTCGTTCTCATCTATATGTGTCTGTGGATGGAAAGAATATATTAGAAGTTATAGAGACGCTTACTCAAAAAATAGATTAATAATTCTCTGGATAGTCCCGGAGCTGATCAACTCATTCTCGGCATCAGCATTGCCGGTTTTCAGCAGTACCGCAAGGAATTCCACAATCTAAAATGTGTGTTTAAAAAAATCAGAAATGACCAATGAAAGTACAGTTTTGACATACTACATTCAATTTTGCTATATCATTGAAAACTACAGGCATACAATGTACAGACAACATATCTACCGTTCCATATCTAAACTTTAGAAAGTGGAGGCATTGAATTAAAAGGTAATTATGGCGCATCACAAAACACACAGGAGAACCCACACGCTCAAGTCCTTCTGTTCTTACCATATAACAATCAGAATTCCCTTCTTCCTAAAATTATATAAAAGGAACTGGCAGACTTCCAAAAAGGCATTTCACAATTTCAAAATACATGACTGCAAAAAACTATCCTCATGGCAGTGTGTCAACAAACCTTCAGACGATGTTTTCCAAGTGGCGGCCTCAATTCTCCATATGTTGTAGGTAATATCTTCTCATCAGATGAAACATTCAAAAGCAACAGCAGCTCACCTGAACATAAACATTTAAATGCTCACAGCTTCAGTTTATGGTACATCAGAAAATGCAGCACAAACATGAATTAAAAACTAACATATGAGCCACCCACATTCAGGCTTACTACACAAACACCCTCAATCGTATGGCACTTTTCATCTCATTGTACTGAAAACTTTGAAGGTTAGATAGAATATTTATTAAAAGCAGTGATTTTTTTTATTTTTTTTTTGGTGGAAATAGTGCTGGGTCTTGTACTCTGGAAGCAAAAATTATTTCTGTACTTCTACTTTAGTTTGTGGACAGTGGTCGCTAACTGTTCAACTCAAGCAAAGGATGACAGTGCATTGGAGTTTCACTGTAAAAAATTTCATAAAATTTTCACAACAGTACATGGAAGAAGGGAAGAGAAAATGAATCAATTCAAATTTAGATCAAATCAATGTGGCTCAAAAATTATAGAAACAAATACGCTGCCACAACAATAGTGGAAGAGAATTGATTGTTAAAACACAGCAGCGTACACCACTACACCTAACATTCCACACTTAGGCACACATGATATTAAAGTATGATGAAATCCACAAGTAAATAAATGAATTTCAATTTCACAAAGCTTAATCTTTTAATATCAGATCTTCCCAATTTATAGATTCTGGATTCTCATTATTTAGTACGAGTCACAGATTCAATGGGAAGAACATGAAAGGGCCATAGTCTCCACAAAAGATGATGGATTCTAATTCGTACTGTTACTACTCAAGCAGCAACACATACTGGGACCAAAAAGAACTTCCATTTTAAATCCCAAATTAAAAAATAAACAGGGCAAAATTGACAAACTAGAAAAATTGAAAGATAAAATCAGATACCAAATGAACAAGTATGGATCTGTTTATTTATGTTTTCAACTTTGTTTTCACACAATTCATCAAAATCTATCTCTAAAAACTCAACATCTAACACATATTTTTCATTTAGTATATTACATCATAAACTTATTGTAAACATCACATCAAACACCTATTTTATATTCAAATTTTATTATTGGAAAGACAATCCTAAACTCAAAACACTTCCAAAATATACCTAAATACACCCTATGTGATTACATGCCATCCGAATAGCAACAGAAAATAAAACAAGGACATATCTGCTTTGGCAAACCTACTCAAAGTTGTAACCACAAGAAAAGGATTCCAAAATACACAATCCCTAGCTAAAAACTCACCTAGTTTGGGGAGCATTGCACCAACAGTATCTGGATTGGCATTCACTGGCAATTCATATGCATGTGGACTTCTGAATGAATACATCATTGGTGATGGAATTGATCTATTAGGATCCAACAATGAAATACAAACAGACAATGAATGGACAAGAGCAGATTTTGAATTTGATTCTTCAAGAGCATGGTCAAATATCCTTGCCACAAAACTGCACATAAATAGAGTAATTATTAAATTAACTCAACTGAATAATTATATAACATAAAACAAAAGGCCATCGGGAAAAGTCTAATATTCTGAACCAAGTTTGGCATACCTTGGACTTGACAGTTTAGTAGCTAGAGGTGATGGTGCATTCCTTGTTATAGAGCACAAAGTTTCTGCTGCATTAGCATGTACTTCAGGAGAACACTGGTTGACACAAAATAAACCCTTATCAGATAGATCAATACACTAGTTAAATACCCATGATGCACTTCCAAATTTGAATATCTTATTGTCATAGGGTCCAGGGTCCAATAGCAAGACTGCCAATAATGGATCTAATCATTTGAGGGTACATAAATATATTCTACATAAAGTCGTCATTTACTAGTCAAACACAATCAACGAACCATCACATTGTCGCATGTACAAAAATGTGGACCACTATATAACAAGTAGCATATTCTTTCGGTTTTATGTTCCCTGATCAAAACTCAATTCCTGATTTGTCTTAATCCTATTTTGCACATCCCCACTGCATCATTCTAGGGTCTTTTGTCCCAATAGGTTGTTTATGAAAATTTTTACTTTAGCACAATACATTAAGTGCAGCCACTTTTGTTGGAAACCTCATGTCACATAAACATTGTGAACCTACACAATAATATTATACTTATATGATGCGAAGGATGTACAGTAACCAATAATCCACAGATAAATAAATACATCTTCATCCCAAGATGCATTACTAGTTTTGCAATTATCCGTCTTCATGTCTTATATTTCTTTGGGGTCTACCCATAATGAAGGCAACTTCTTTGATAGTTACCATTATCTTGACCAATTTGAACAGTACCTTTTTCCACATGAGCAACTTTGGATAATATTAGTTGGATTTTGCTAAATCACATTTTGCAGCATGAGAATTCCAAGTTTACAAGAAATTCAATTTTGCAGTTACTGTAATTTTATTTCAAATTTTCACATGCTTCCCTTAAAAATACAGAATGACATCACTTTACACATTAGGAAGAAAGTGTGATGGAGAAATCTGCCTAAGTAATAGTTTACATCTTTTAGAGCCATGCAATTTCTGGACACAAACTATCAGAAAGTGCCAACAAGCAACTTTCATTAAGAAAAAGAATAAACAGAAAGTAATGCAGCAATTGGGTAAAATACTTCACATAAAATTGATTCTTAAGGATAAGTGGAAAAAAAGTAAATAATTGGGGAAAAAAGCCATGACAGGTACTTGTTTATGAGATGGTTTAAGATAAGATGGACGAGTATTGATATTTTAAAAACTAACATAATCAACTTAAGGTTAAAATATTATCTACTATAAGTATGCTTCTTCAGTAAAATTATAAAAGTCAAGACAGAAATTCATATATTCTTGTTTTACAATTTCGACATATATATATAGTTATTGGATAATGTGGCAATATGAGTAACATTAAATTTTAAGGTTTAAAATAAATGAGATACCGAATAAGTTCAACTCCAAATTCATATAGAGGACAAATTAAGTCATTGTTATTGTTCGCTTATGTAAGAGACCTGAGTTTATTTTTATTATTGCAAGTTTGGCTAGTGGCAAATAAAGATGGTAGATCACAGTACGGCGAAAACTGTTTGGGGGGTATTTTTATAGATTAAAAGAAAATTATCTAGTTTGGGAGATATTTTGCACAACACGGCTCCATTCTTTTTGAAATCTTTTTCAGATTCTTTACTATGCAGTTTCCACAATTCCCAATAAAAATTCATTTTTCCTTCCCACAAACCAACACATCCAACAACTATTTAAACACAAAACACAAACCAACCACACCTACAGTTTTTATGAGAGTGACATGGCCATCACAACCATGTTATACATTTCATATATCAACCAAAAAGCTCTATACATGCTAGTTTCCAACTTACCGAACTATTCAATTTATCCACAATCATTTCTAGCATGTTGCTTTCTGCCAGCCAATGCATAACATCCAATAAATTTGGGTACACATGATCATCTGCCCCGACAAGTCGCACCAAAACCTGATAATTATAAGAATGGCTAATGAGAAGAGAGAACAATCCACCAGCACTGGATGCAGAAAACCATAAGTCAATAATGTCATCAAAATTAACTAATCAAGCTAAGCAAATATTAGTTAATCCAAGACTAAACCTCCATTATGGATGTGATACCGATCAAATCAACCAAATGCTTCAAAACATCTTGGTGGGCCTGCAAGTAGCATTAATTTCAATATCAGAACCATATGGAATCAATAATGTATTTCTACTTCATTAGGTCTATTGTTGGTACAGATTATAGACAAACTTTAACAAAACCCTGGTGCCATGATAAACTGGATCTTAGGCAAAAACAACTTCAATGACCCAAAAGATTTTCTATACATAATAATCCCATTGATCCCAAAAAGATATAAGATGAAGAGGACAATGTAAAAAAGCAGCAACAGTTGTTATTAAGCATTTCATGTTATAAGAATGATGTAATATGCATGGCACAGAGCTATAAAAGCCTTTGTTATATCACCTTGACATAGTTTATGAGTTGAATAGTCTTTCGCACCATTAAGCACACAACAACCTGCATACCCAATATATAAGATCAAATATGTTAGCTTACGAAAAACAAGTTGATTAGTATTGACTATGAGATAATAAATAAGGCATATCAATTATCAAGCTGTACCTTACTAAAATACCCAGACAATAGTGCACTGTGGGGATGGTCTGGTTCCAGGAAAGAGAAGAGTAAATTCATAAGCTGCAAAAAGATGAAGGATGAGATCCGAGTACCAAAGGAAAACCAAATTTGTGAAAGATGTATAAGTTTTTCAAATTTCCGTGTGATGATCATACCTCCTCTTCCTCAACAAGAGTCTTCAAGATGACATCGATTTCACATGTGAAAATTTCACAGGCAACAAAGGGAAACCTAAATTGTTAAATAGAAGTTTTGAGACACACTTTGAATCTTCACAAGAACACAAACAGAAGTTTTACTATTTTAACCTTCTTTTATTTCCTGACCAAAGGTTACTCTAAACATGAAAATGAATAGTTGAACATCCATAATTTAATCTAATAAACCCAATTAGGCCTACTTGAAGGTGCGCTTGCTATCTGCTTCTTCTTGAGGCTCCTCAATAATATATCGCAGCAGCTGCTCAACCTGAGTTCTGTCTCTCAAACTGAAACAAGAGAACTTCAAAAGGTCAAAACAGAACTAACAGAGTGTGATTCCTGAGAAATTTCTGGACCTAGCACAAGGTTATTTGACTACATTAAGAACTGTTGGAAACATTCAGCTCAGTTAGGGGCATACAAATTTATCAGGCGGCTGTTTAATGCTTTGCATTCTTGTATTATCTCCTCTTCATCCAGAAGCTCTTCCAACGTAAAATTTTCCTTGTCTAGCAATGACTCAACCTTAAGGCATAAAATATGTGTCAGCAATTTAATGGACACAGACAAAGGAACTAGTTATATATGGTCCCTTATCTCCAAATTCAAGCTCCATGAGATCTATTACCAAATCATCACACAGTATGGTAAAGAGAGTTGAGCTCATGCAAAAAGTGCAGCAAAGAGAGCCAAATGCCCAGTTCATTAAGAAAAAGTATACATAAGACCACTTCAAAATTTACAGTTCATTCACATGCATGTAGAAATGAAATAGCTAAAAGGAAGTGAAATGTTTACATCGTCAACAAATGTGCTGACGCAAAAGCTAAGAAATGAATAGATCCAAAACAGAGACGTCACTCCCTTCTCTCCATGTTTCCTCAACTAGCAAGTGGATTATAACAAAACAGGAGATTTAGCATTGCAAAGCATGGACAGAATTCAACTAATGCATCAAAATCACTGAAAAAACGGAGCAGCACATAAACAAACAACAAAAGCGTATGTCCCCGGTCTCCAATATCAACAAACAAAGCTCCCCAAGCATTCTTCCACTTCAACATCAACAACATCATACAAAAATATTCATTACCGCACAAATCTTCTCCTCCAAAACCCCAAAACCCCCGGAATCACCAAATCCAGCATTTAACGACCCCTAATTCCACAACCCCAACACAAAAAGGGCAAAACAAACAACGGTCAGCTGACTCACTGGGGAAGAGGCAGAAAGCGCGGTAAGCTTCCAAAACATATTGTCCACGCAGGAGCACAGAGAAGTAGAATATTCACACGAATCTAGGGATGCAGACCGGAGGAGGAAGGTGCACAGATCTGGGAAACCCTAGAATCTGAATCAGAAAAAGGATTGCGCACGAGGACGGGTTATTTTTCTCATAGGGCGGAATCTGGTGGGATTTGGAGCGCAAAAGAGGAGTGGTGGTGGGGCAGAGGAAACCCTAATTTTTGGGGAGATCGAAAGAGGAGGAAGCCGCAAAGATGGACATGGCCTGCGATGCGAAGAGCGAGCGAGAGAGAGAGGAAACCTTTGTGAATATTATTATATCTATCTGTGGTTTTCAACACTATTTCTTCCCTCAATTATTTAATTGTATCATGCGGTGAAAAAACACGCATACACCGAGTCCAGGACCTCCAGGTCCACCACATATACTGGATCTTGTTTGGTTACCTTTATATTAGAGATTTTCGATTAAAATTTCAAAATAATACATGTACCTACATTCACTTAGTATTATTTATTTTTCAAAAAATATTATATTAAATATATTTTTTTTTTCATAAAATATCAAATTAAATACTAATTTTTTATTTTTTATTTTTCTAAATTTCAAATTTTCAAAAACTCCTATCTAAACAAACCACGCATTCTAAAATCCAAAAAAATTTGAATATTCATTTAATATATTCATGTAATATGACAAAACACATATAATGATAATAACATAGACATATTATATGAGAATATGTATAAAGATATATGTTCTGTTTGAGATGAATAAGTATATATATATATATGCATGAAAATATATACAAAGTGGGGTGTGTGTGTTTGAATTTGAGAGATGGAGAATTTGAGTGAAATGATGTAGTGAAAATTATCATTTTCTTATTTAATTACAATTGAGGTCTATACATAGACATATATACTGAAGATTAGTCATAAAAAATACACTTTGCAGTATACTAGAATGACATAATTATGAAACATAAAATCTACATTAAATGATGTCACAATATCATTAATTGCAATGAATATGTTTCATTAAAATATTACTAAGAAAAAAAAATTTACTGGAACAAAAATTCTAATAAAAGAAAAATATGTAATTCATGTATTTAAAATATATTTCTAACGATGTAGACATAATTTGAAATAATGCAACCAATATATTTCAATATTCTTTATCAATTTCTCAAACATTGTAGTTGATAAAACCTTGGTCACTAATTCTGTTAAATTCGAATTTGGAGTAAAAAAAATAGATGAAATATAGTTCATTATATCTCCCTTGATATATAATCTTTTTAATTGAACTATACAAGTTGCATTATTTTTATATAAAATAGTAATATTATCATTTCCATATATGAAACCATAATTATGGTGAGTTATTGATTTCAACGGAAACACATTCTCAATTAGCCTTATGAATTGTTATTATTTCAGCATGATTTTAAGATGTCCCGATTAAAGTTTGTTTTGTGGATCTCCAAAATACCGCAGTACCGCCACAAGTAAATATGTAGTCAATATGAAATTTGACTTTATGCGGGTCAAAAAGATAACCAACATCTGCATATCCAATCAATTCATGTTGAAAATTCTTTGAATACAATCAACTGAGATCAGTCATTTTATTGGAAATATCAAAAAATATGTTAATGCATTTTCAATATCATTGTGTTGGCATTGCAGTAAATTTTGCGAATAAATTTACAGCAAATGATATATATGTTCTTATATTGTTAGTCAGATACATTAATGCGTCAATAGCACTTAAATATAGTATCTCTCATTCTATTCTTTTAGGTTTAAAAGGATCCTTGATATGATTAAAAATTTTAACTATCACTAGAGTACTTAATTAATGTGTTTTATTTATTGCAAATTATTTTAATACCTTATGGTTATATATAGATTGGTGGATCAAAATTTTATTTTCCAAATATTCAAATTGCAGATCAAGGCAAAAAAAATTTTGTTCCAAAATTATTAATTTCAAACTCTCTTTTAAAATATTCAATAACTTTTTGGACATTTTCAAAGGCTCCAATTAAATTTGAATCACGTAAACAAATATTATCACAAATTATTTTTTATATATATAAAAACACATGGACAAACAAAATAATTGGTTTATCCTTTTTTTCAATAACGATTCACTAAGATGATTATACAACATGCTCGTACAAAGACTTTTGTAATTTAATATAATAATATTCTTTTGACTTTGATTTATATACTTTAGGCATACTGGGTCATTTAGGAATATATATTAGTATATAATGAGTCATATAAATAGACAATTACGACGTCCATCAGATGCATATACAAATTTTCATGAACTGACAATATATCGAAATATTATTTCATCTATTACTAGAAAATAAGTTTCATTAAAATTAATTTTAGGTATTTGTGAAGAAAAAAAACCTTGGGCAACATGCTTTGTTTATATCTAGCAACTGTATTGTTCTCATTTGATTTTTGAACAAATATCTATTTATAGTCAACATGCTTAATATCTTCATGTGTTTATACAATGTGTCAGAAAACTTTTTGTTTTACTAGCAAATTCAATTTAGATTGGATTATATCTTTCCATGTTGGCCAAGATATTTAATAATAGATGGAGATTCGTATTCAACATATATTTTCAATCCCTATTGGAGCCCATTTTTGTGTGTTGGGACGGTGTTACTAACACATAAAGTGTGCACACACAAATGTTTGCAAATATAAAATATTGAGTTTTTCATTATACACCAATTGTATTTGGGAGTACTGTATAACTTGTCGGTCTTATCTTATTAGTATTTATGCATGTAAAATTGCATGTCCCCAAGAAGATACGAGAAGTTTAGATTTAATCAACATAGGTATAGCAATTTATTGCAATTTTTTTATAAACGATCCAGCTAGACTATTTTGAGTATATATATGGTATATGATACTCAATATCAATCTCAATAGATATGAGATAATAATCAATATATTTGATGAATGTTCACCAGCATTATCGAGACGAATTTTATTTATCGGATGATCTAAAAATTATACTTCTAATTTAGTTATTTGAGCAAGCAACCTCGAAAATATTAAATTACAGGTGAATAATAAACATATACGTGACCATCAAGTAGATACATCAATAAGTACTATAAAATATTTGAATGGTCTGCATGGTGGATCTATTGGCCTACATATATCACCGTGAATTCGTTCTAAAAATATAGGAAATTCAGTTCTCATTTTTGTCGGTGATAGTTTAATTATTAACTTTTCTTTTGGGTAAGAAACATATTTTTAACTCATTTGTATTTAATACTCTTTAATTTTTTAAAGTATGGCTACGAGTATTTTCAATAATCCGTCTCATCATAATATTAGCGAAATGCCCAAGTCGATCATGTCAAATAATAAAATTTGTAGACTTTTAGTATACCAGATCAGTTGCATTCAACGTTGTGTAATATAACCCAGAATACAATGAAGTCAATTTTTTCGGTACATATTTTTGTCCATTAATTAATTTTGTAATCAACATAAAATTATTATTTGCCTTATTCGATGTCTTAATGTAATATCGATTTCGACGAATATCATTAAAACTTAACAAACTATTTTGGAATTTTCTAAAAAACAATGCATTTGAAATGTCAAGTTTTACTCATTCGTAGAAAAATATTATGGCTCTTCCAAAACCTTCAATCCATTTCACACTATCACCTATTATATTAACAAAGATTTTTTTTCAACTTCAGGTTGGTGAAAACATAAATTATCTTCAGTGTTATTAATTATGGCACGTTTAGAATTTATATTTTTTTCTTCTGAAATAAATATCAAAAAATAAATATATCAATAATTTAACAAAATTCATAGCTGTTATATTATTACAAAATACAGGAGTAAAAAAATAATTATATATAAAGAGTACCAAATACATATTATCACAATGCACATTCAGGATGCTCAAAATATAAATCATTGATAATTTCAAAATATGCACATTTAAGGTACACAACATATAATATACAACATCGAAATTTTTTAAAATATGAACCATTAAAGTTCATAAAATATGAACATTTAGAATGATCAAAATATGTATCTTCACGGTACATAAAAAGTTACATATTTAATAGTGTGTTATCAATAAAATCATCACCAACATATTTAAATAACTAAAAATTTAAAAAAATATTATCTTTATATTAATATTTTCTCACTAAAACCCCGTGTTAATAGCGTGTCATGTAACATAACAAAATACATATTATTATCATAATAACCTAGATATATTATATAAGAATGTTTATAAATATATATGTACTCGTATGTGATGAATGTAAGTATATATATATGTATGTATATGTAATGTAATATATGTATGAATATATAAAACGGTGAAGTGTGTGTGTTTTAATTTGAGAGAGAGAATATGAGATAAATTATACCGTAAAAATTATCATATTTCTTATTTGATTACAATAGAGGTCTAAAAATTGTATTGTTACGTGGTTGAAAATCAATCAAAATTAAAACCTTATAGATCTAGTGGTTTGTGACATCCTTAACATGCGGTAAGGTTCCAAATTCGATTTCAAAAGGAATGTACGAAAAAACCAAATATATATCCAATGAATGATTGTCACTTGTCAAACAATAGATATCTCATCTTTAATACTTTATCGTATATGCGTAATATGTATACCAAGTTTACAATTTTATTTATTTTTTTAATGTAATAATGATTATGTTTATTTAAAATTTGATTTTAGTTTCTTTCTTGAATAGTCCGGGCTTGATTTTGAAACATATTTGACATACTAAAAGCAATTACAATAGTTATATCCCAAAAAACATCCAAATATATATAAAATATCATATGTCCAATTTTGTTAATCTTAAACTGTCTAGATCTTTAAAATGAATTGCAATGATTTTTTATTTTTCAAATAAAAAAATCTCCGAAACTTTTGAATAAAAGAAAAGAGAGAGAAATAAAGAGAGAAAGAGAAAAAATATGCGAGAGGAATAAAAAGAGACACAAAAAGAAGTGAGGAATAGAAAGAAATAGTATGAGAGAAAAAATTGGGATGAAAGAAAAAAAAAAAAGAAAGAGATGGTGAAAGGCTTAAGCAAAGCCTAATATACACATAACCAATTTTAGATATCTCCATTTTTTTTTCCTCTAAGGAAGAGTCATTGTATTAACATTTATTTATTGAGAAAAATATATATCATTTTCAATGATGAGACATTCTGTAACTTAATAGTCCAATTTAAAATTATTTTACCATATATGTATTTTTTAAATAATAAGTTATTAATTAAATTTTTTTATTTAAATATATAATTTGTATTTTTTTTTATTGAAAAATATATTATACTAATTTAGAGTTGAGTTGATATAAAATATCTATTCCCTAATATATCTTAAAAGTTAGTACATATTAAATTTTTTTAGTGATAAATACCTATTTTTATTTTTAAAATTAATTTAAATATAAAATTACTATTTTAAGTTTATATTTTATTTATTTTTTTAATATATATCTTATTCTAATATTGGTGCACAAAATTCATTTTTATTGCTATTACTCTTATTTTTATAATATATCGTTATTCATACTTAAACTGCACAGATTCATATCCATGTAGACTCTAATAACACGTAGTTATACTTATATACCCCGTAATAGACAATTTATCTTTTTGTGTATGATATATTGCACGTAAAATGCACTATATATTATGATAACATATATGATATTTAATTATTAAATGTATTTTATTTAAAATATCAATTTTATGTTAACATATAACTCGAATTTTATACATAAGATAAAAATAATACAATACTTTTTAGTTAAAAGGTAGATGTGACTAAGGAATAGTAATTGAATAGTTTGTTTACATCACATTGTGTGTGTGGCAAATACAATAATTGTGTACCTTATACAATTATATTTATATAACACCATTAACAAATAATATGGCTTTGTTTACTTAACAATTTTTCACTCATTTACATTATTCATTTTTCTAAAAATATCATATCAAATACATTTTTTTTTCACAAAACATCAAATCAAATATTAACTTTTTTATTTTTCTAAACTTTCAAATTTCCAAAATTCTCAAAAAATTTCTATCAACACGGAGCTTATGTGACTCATGTTTATGATGTTACAAAATATATTTTATATAAATGAAAAATTATTAGCAAATACTTATGAACCATCAAAAAATAATATAATTTACATTTAACATATACATTATTTATTTTTTCATATGTAAGATATTTTGGCAACACATCAATGTGTATTTAGTTGTCTTACATGAGAGTAGGAATATTCCCCACTATATGGTCTGGTACTTTTCATTAGTCTATTTCCGTCCGTTCGTTCAAACACGGTACTTTTTCTCATTATCATCTACCGTCATTTTCTTTTTCTTCTAGCTATTCATACATGAAGAAAAAGTATATATATGCTCCGCAAAGTCTATATACAACACGTACTATATACAATAAAATAAATATTATAAAATTTTTATATGTATTGCATCTTAAATACTAAATTTCCACGTGCATAATATGAAAATAACATCATATTTTAGAGCATCTCTAACTGTCTCTATTTTAAGAACAATTTTTGTTGTAACTGTTTATTTTTTCCTTTATTTTTTGGAGGAATGCACAGTGTTCCTTTAAATTTGGAGGAACTCGTACAATTCTCTAAAAATGGAGGAATACTTTTTTTAATTATATTTTGGTCCTTCATTTTTTGTTGTTATAGTCTTGTTATTTTAATTTTGTTTTTTATATTTTGCATTATTTTATAAACTATAAATTAGATATAAAAATTAATTTATATTATTATTTTAAAAATTATCAGGGAAATCACAGAAAATGAATCTGCTAATGAAGGTTACAGATTCGGTCAAGAGGAAAGAGGAAGAGGTGGAGTCCCTAGAGCCGACATCGAGGTGCCAAACCTTCCTAAAAAGAGCGATTTAGAGTGGATTTCAGGTTGGAGTTAATATGTAAAAAAAATAAAAATTATGTAATTGTTTAAAATAAATACTATATATGAATATTTTTTTAGAGGAAAAAATAGAATTTGTTAAACTCAAATTAAATTTAGATAGAAATTTTAAAGAAAAATTTGAAAAAAATAAAATATTCAGTCGGAGATGGTCATATATGACTGGATGATTGAATAGTTTATTTACATCAAATTGTATACCGCAAAAATAATATAATTATATATTTTATACGACTACTTCTATTATATTATATTACGGATGATATATATATTATTTGTTCATTATTAAATTATGAGTATTTTATAATTTTTTTTATTATTTGGTGAGTGATGATTCGTGAGGACTGACCACTAAAAAAAATTTGTATGGTTATTAATTTATATAAAATATACATATAGAAAGATTTTTAATTAATTTACTGTTAAGTTTATATGGATGCAATTACAAATATTTTCATTAATACTTAATAATTAGGAAAGGTATTTTGCTGGTGCAATTTTAGTAGTTCTTAATAAAAATTTTAAAAAAATTTAAAACTATTTGATTCATTCATCCAAAAAAAAAAAAAAATTCATTATGAAACATAATTTATATTATATTATATAATTAAATTTTTAAAATCATCTAAGTTCAAAATATTTTTAATTTTTTAACAATGGTGTGTATTTCTTTTACACCAAATTTCTCAAATTTTATTATTTAAACTCTGAATTTTTCAAAAATATTTTAGTAAAAAATTCAAATAAAATTTTTTCAAACCAAATCAAAGAAACACTAACAACACAATCTAAAATTTCAGATCATATTAAAAATTTTCAACCCAAATCAAAAAGTTTTTTGAACCTGTGATCTTTTTGGGGCCTATATTTTTAGTTTATAAAGTCGGAATTTTGGGCCTTAGATATAATTTTTGCGATTTGGAGGACGAAGGAGAAGATTTAGAAATTAATTTACTAATAGATCCTTGACTTTATATAAATTAAGAATAATTGTAAATGTAGAAAACGAACGGTTGCGGAGCTGTGAGTACCAAACTCTCAGCGGGTCTAAGCCAAGCCAACATCTACTGCCCAGTGGGGTCTAACGGGCCTTCATCAGCCGTCCGAGACCACCGACACCGGCGTCTCGAGCTCAGGCGACACCTCGTCGCCGTCCGATCGGATCGGACCCCAGACGTGCTTTCTGGTTGGATCCACACTCTCGCGGTGCAGCTGTTTCAGTAGCCGAAATTGGGGAATTTTTCAGCGGGGGCGATTATTCACCAGAAATGAATGTGAGCCAGGGTGCGGTGCATCCTATGGAGGCGCCGCCGTCACAAACGGAGGGCGCGGCGAACTTGCCGTTGCCGCGCGTCAGGATGAAGGATCTGCAAGGCATGCCGGGTACGGTGGGGGGATTGTTGCTTCGTGTGTGTCAGTTGTTGTTCGCAGTTGTGGCGCTCTGCGTTATGGCGACCACGAGCGACTTTCCTTCAGTCACCGCCTTCTGGTAAATAATTTTTTTTTTTTTTGATCAGGTTACTGTTGTTAATTTACCGAATCGAGTGAGGTCTGGGTTGACTGATGTTTTGATACGATCTATCCTATATGTTTGATTGGCAGTGTTTTTGTTATATGTACTGTTCTGTCGTTATTGAATTCGAGGTGTATGTTGTGATAGTGTTGTCCATCAAGCTAAGACGGGCTGTAATTCTGTGAATTAAATTGCTGTAGAAAGAACAGCTTGAAAACATGTTGGTGACAGTAAGAAATTGTGTTTTCAGTGGTTTATTGTGTTTTTCCTGAATGAAGAAATTGAATTTTCACATTCTTATATACTAGCTTTTCGAATTTGATTTATGGTTAATGGAGGCAATGACTTGAAACAATATGCACATCGAGTTTGAGGAAAACAGTTGGTTCTCCTGAGGAAGAGTTGATTTTGCTATCACTATGTAGTGGTTATATGCTGTTATTCTTAGACTTTTGTTGTTTAATCTCAATATGGTGGGTACATTTTCTGAAGTGGTTGTGATTTGATGACAACATAGAATCAGGTTTTCTTGCCCCTGTTAATTGCTAGAACAAGTTATTCTGGAAAAATTTGGATTGCTGGAAGATATGTTTCTGATAATGGGCATTATTCAACTTGAGTTATGTGATCAAATGTATGGTATCTTTGAAGTTGACTGTGCTTGATATGTGAACTTTGTCTAGCAGTACAGTTTGGTAGTTAAAAAAAATCAATTATAAGTAGTATACAATTTAGTTGCTACCTTCTCATTGTCGTCAAGAGAAGGCGGATTCTGAAGTTAAACTTTTTGTGTGGGCAGATTTGCAGAATGTTCGAAAGAGTCATATGACCCCCTTTCCTTTGTCAACAATGTGTCATTTCATTAATCTAACATACTTGATTGTCTTACGTAATTTAATATTTCTGGTGCTAACTCTGCACCTCCCGTTTCTTTCTATCCTCTTTATTTCAGCTACCTTGTTGCTGCTACTGGTTTGCAGAGCTTGTGGAGCATCGTATTGGGTTTAGCTGATGCATATGCACTTCTTGTAGGGCGCCGGTTGCAGAACCCCCGAATTGTTAGTTTATTTGCTGTTGGTGATGGGGTAAGTTACTAAGTTTGTCTCAAAAGCTTAACACATATGCATAGAGCATACCTTATGGTAGTATTGTCATAATGCCAACACACTGCTCAATAGGATCTGAATATGTCTCTCCTGAACATTCTGTTTTTCTGCTTTCTTGAAATCTTGCCAATGCCGAATTGCATATTTCATTATAAAATCATGAAAAACCTGTCTTTAAAAAAAGTTTAAATAACAATCCCTCTCTCCCACTTTCTATATTCACCTTTCTATTTTTGTCCGTCCTACTTATTTTGTTATTTTTCTTTTTTGGAAAAAAATTATGCACTTTTTAATGTTATTTTAAATTTTTTAATTTTAAGTAGACTAATTAGTTATCTTAGTCTTAATTTATAAATATTTTTATTATACGATAATTATTTTCACTAATACATTATTAATTATTTACTAATTATACTCCTTCTAAATTTCCGCGTTTACGGTAAAGTGGACATGATAGCCGGGATGGAGGGAGTATATCAATTTGGAATGTAGCACTTCTATTAATTAGTGTCTTTTTAGTGAGTTGTTATCTTTTATTACTCATTGTTTCTGGAGATAAGCTATCGAGCAAGCAGAGGAGATTGTGAATTAGTAATGCAACCATAGACAACTAACTATAGCCTAGACAATCATAGAATGATTGGCTAAGACTTAAAGTTGCAGTCAATAATTTACAAATTAAAAATCATATCAAAGTCATGCCAAGTAATATGTTTTGCAATCTTCTAGCTTATGTCTATTATTATTATTATTATTATTATTATTATTATTATTATTATTATTATTATTATTTTTTAAAGGTATTACACTCACTAGTAATGTGTATTTCCTAAAAACTATACCCGATCTGTTTGCTAGATAAGCCAATGGGTGTGAGGAAAGGCTGCTCACACTTTCTTTGAGCTCCATGTTAGGCAGCTCTCTTTTGATGGGTTTTAATATTCTCCCTTCATAGGTTCCCTGGACCTAAAATTGAAGTTAGAATTGTGTTTTTTGAGAATCAAAATTGGATTTTTACCCTAACTCTTCCACCTTGCCCAAGCCTGACTTTCCTTGACGATACATCTCCGTAATTGATAGGGATGGCAACAGGGTGGGTTCGGGAAGGTTTTGCAGGCCTCAAAACCTGCCCCGCTAGAAAATTTTAGGCCCCAAAACCCGCCCAGCCTTGGCCCCGCCTTTGGCCAATCCGAAAAACCCGTTTTGTTTTATTATTATAATTTTATGGGGTATTTAATATAATATCATAAAAATTTTAATATTAAATATTTAAAAATCTCAATCACAATATCCATAATATATTTTCAACCGCGGTAAAATTGGTGTACCATGCAATAAAAAAAATTGTGAGTTAGAAGATAAATACGTTGAAAAATATGAAAATTTGAAAACTAAAAAATAAAAATAGGAAAGATATAAAAAGTTATATACTTAAGTAATATGAATAATTATAAACATATGTATTAGTAGTTTTTTAAAATTATTTATTTAACCGGGTTCAAGACGAGTTTTTGAGCAAACTCGTAACCTACCCCGAACATTAAATTTCAAATTCGAATATGCCCCATTAGTGGTCAAGACCCGCCCCAATTGCGGTCCCTAGCAATTGAGAGTTTGGGGTTTAATATGTTATTAAATCATTATAAAAACATAACCATTAATCTAAATTTTTTTGGCATTATTCTAATTTTTTCTTTCATATTGAAAGCCCTTTCTTTATTAACAATATGGGACGACTTAAATGTCTTTGTGGGATTTAAAATGCATGCATTAATGTATAGTATACTTAATTAACCATAATTGTATAACGTCCTAATAACATCTAATAGTTTTCGTCAAGCTGGAGCATCCATATTATAAGCTAAGTCTGTCACAAATGCTTTGCCCTTGAGATCTTTCCAAGGCTTTTGTGAATAGATCAACATGTTGGTCTTAGACTGTACATCGAAAACTATAATGGGACCTTGTTGTTTCTCATTTACCAAATCCGCATCAATGTGTTTATTTTTTTCATGAAAGACTGGATTGGAGGCAATATGAATTGTTGCTTGAATGCAAAACATTAGTTCCATGGGAGATGAATCCTTAAAGTGAATCCTGAAAAGTGAAAACCATCTTTAGTAAGAACATTCTACAACCAAATTATCTCACAAGTGGCTTGGGCTCATGCTTATATTCAAATTCTGGATAGAGCAGGAAACAACAGTCTGCTGCTTACCAGAAAAATGCACCAACTTGAAGTGAACCTTTGATCATACAATCCTGTCCAATCTGCATATGAATATCCCTGTACTAGGGAATGCCATAGTTTTGACCTAAAAAGCAATGTCTTGGTGTTCTTTTTAGATATTGTAAAATTCGTACAGCGGTGTCTTAACATTTTGTTTAGGCTGATTTCATGAATTGACTGACAACACTTGTGGCAAAGCAAATATCTAGGAGAGTGATAGTTAGATAATTTATTTGCCAGTAAGTTTGTGATACTTTTTCATTTTTGAAATTTTCAAGCGTTCGTTCTTTCCATCAAATTTAACATTCAACTCCATAGAATTGTCTACTGATTTGGTGCTAAGTAGCTTGGTTTCTACGAAAAGATCAAGAACATATCTTTGCTATGATAAGCAAATGCTCATTTAAGAGAGAGCAACTTCAATATAAAGTATCTATGTTGTCCAAAATGGCAAAATCCTTAGTTGATTTCATCAACGTAGACATTAAAGGAATATTTCCGATATTAATACATTGGAAGAAAGCCAAATGATCATATGTACACCAATATAATCAGAATTCCATGATGATGTTACCAAAATGGCAAAATCCTTGGTTGCCCAAATCATGCTCTTGGGGATTGTTTAGACCTAATGATTATGCAACTGAAATACTGTATAAGTCTCTTCCTAAGTAATAAATCTTGATGGTTGATCTATATAGATGGTTTCATGTAAGTTATCATGAATGAAGACATTTTTAATATCAATTTCATGGATAGACAATCTATGCATGGTTGTGAAAGCAATAACACATAAACAAAAGTCATTTTGACTATTGAGAAAAAAATTTCCCACGTAATCCATACTGTAAACTTGAGTATAACCTTCTACAAAAAGAAAGTGCCTTCAAATGCCCAATGGAGCTGTCGGAATTAAATTTGATAGTGAACATTTTGACAATCTGTAATGGGATGATTTGGCAGAGGAGATACAACATGCTAAGTAGCATTGCTTTTTAAGGTGACCATTTTCTTTGCCATAGTGTGATGCCAACCTAGGTGATTGAAACCTTTTGAGAGCGTTGAAAGAACAAGAATAGTAGACAAAGATAGCACAAATGAAGAATGCAAGACTACGAATCATAACAATCACATTTTGAGATAGGGTAGGAGGTACAATACCTGCGACCTTTTCGAACGGAAATAGAGAGATGAAGATTATTGTTTGGCAGAGTAAAGGTGGAGAAGGTGCCAAGATGGTTCAAGTCAACATCATTATATACAAGAGTGAGGTCTATGAGATGTACACTTGCAAGTCATGTCAAGCTAAACAGGGAGCAGGATCAAGAGCAACGGCAAGCTCAAAAGAAGAACTAATATGAGGCTTATGAGGCACAAATGATGATGTATCTCAAGAAAGAAGAAAAAATGAGAAACATTTAAGTCATCATTAGTAGGCATTGGTTTTTGGGATTGAGATTAGAGTATGAAGTTTCCTCAACAAAACCAACATTTGTTGAAATAAAAAAGTGATTCAATGATGGACTAAAGCATCTATAATCTATTTTAGACTAGAATATTCAAGAAAAAGGCATTTGATGGATGTAGGATCCAATTTATTAGTACCAAGTTGAAGTTGGTGAACAAAAATGGACAACCAAATATTTGAGTATGGATAGAAAAGTAACTTTTTTAGGAATATAGAGGAAAATGAGAATTGACTAGAGAATATGAAAGAAGGCATCCTGTTAATGGGGATAAAATACCATCAAAATAGCATCATTCAAAAAACTCTTTGGTACATTAATGTGAATTAACATGGTGCAAGTTGTTTCGATGACATGTTGGATTTTTCATTCAGCCACTCTCTTTTGTTTTGAACTATAAGGAATAAGGATATGAGAATGTATGTTGAATGCCATGGTGATTTTGGTAACTAGAAAAGGGCTTAGAGAAGTATATTCTAGCATTATCAGTTTGAAGGTTGTTATTACGACAACCAAATTGGTTATGAATTTTCAGAAAATGAACAAAATATGATCTTTCATTAAATGAAAATTCATTAATAAAAAATGAAAAATATTGAAACTTGAACTTGGACTTGATGAAGACCTTAATGTTTGTGTGAACAATCATAAAGAGTTTGATAACTTTATCATGGGTTCAAATAGAGGAAGAGATATGATGATGTCTACCAAGCTGACTTGATTCACAATTTAAAGTAGAGACTAATTCTGAATGCAATAATGCCATCTTAAGATTATTTAATAATAAATGGCCAAGGCAATGATGCTCTCAGTAAATGGAGATACAAAGGATGTATAAGCACGAAGGAATTGTAAATTAACAAAGTAGTACATTCCCTTGGACTCATTTATTTCTCCAATCACTTTTGGGGCTTCAAATCCTAGATAATGGAAAAAAAACAAGACAACAATTTAGCTGATATGTTAGCTTACTTAGATATGAGATTATTATTATTATTATTATTATTATTATTATTATTTGTGTGTGTGTTGATTTTTGATATCTTAAGGTGAAATAGGTGATGTTTTGTATGGAAAATGGGTGTTTGATGTGATGCTTTTGGAGGGTGATTGAGAAATCAAATAATTTAAAAAAACAAAATTAAAAAATTGCAAAGAGAACAAGCCAAGTGAAGGCAAGATAAAAGAATTGCCAACTTCTTGGATAGAAGTAGAGGTTCCATCAACGATTGTAAGGTGATTATTATAAAAATGATGTAAATGAGAGGTTTGAGGAAACAATTCTTTCTTACCTAAAACATACCGTATAATTACAGAATCTAATATCCAATGTTGAGCCAAAAGGATAGAAATGTGCAGATCTTTGGGTTACCTTGGTGGGATATTGATGCTATAGAGGACGATGGTGTTTGCTTAGGAGCTTGAAATGCCAAAACTTGGGGTATTCCTCGAGTAAGAGAGTGATAGGTTGGTGTGGTTTCTGATGCAAGGGAGTAACAATTGATTCTTCAAGAGATGAAATATGGGCTGCCTGAATGTGTGCATTTTATCTAAGCTCGTCATTTCCTCATAGCTATTCTTATTGAAATGGGTGCAATGAGGTCGATGACTATCTCATCCACATGCCCATGCCAATGCCCACGACTTCCTCTAGGTTGAGACGAAGGATTGTGATGAAGAGAGACATACTGAGAATAGTTTTAGCCATAATTTATTTGGAAATAGAATGGGACATTTGAGAAGATACTTTAGCAAGAGATGGAATGCCTATGTTACCAAGAATTTAAGCCATGATAGGTATGAAATTGGATTTTAGAGCTGCCAAAAACTAACCCGACATGAGATAATTGGGTTCGGGTAAAGGATTTCGACCCAATTATGTCTGTGTCCATAGAATCAAAAAGAATATGCAGCAGTTAAGTCGTCTGCTTGCCAATTTTCCAACAAGGTCATTGCTAAGAGGTTCAACTTGAAGATTGGAAATCTTTCTCTGTCCTTCAAAGAATAATTCAATGTTCTTAGACCATAATGACTAAATTCAGAAAATGCTCGGTAATTCTCAGATTACTAATCTGAGATGAAGATGGTTGGAATTTCGATACTGCACTTCCACCGGCCATGGTGAATAGAGCAGCGTAGACAAAGGAAAGGACAGTCTGATTGCACTTACAATGAAATAAAGAAATTGGCAAATTGCAATCACTTGAAGTGTGAAATAGGACTATATTTGAATCGACCCATTCAAATTTGGTATGATTACTGCCATTGCATGAATGGGATTCTGGAGACACCACCAGAATAGTCATGATTGCCGGAGCTTGCTGGTGTAGATGGTAAGATCACAGGATTTGGTTTGTAAGGTTGTTTGAAGAAAAGGGAACAGTATATGAGTTGCATCAACCTTAACACTACAATTACATGAGTATATATATTCATCGGTCGGAAATGAGTAGACACAATTTTAATGTCTGGTACGAATGTAGTGCTAATTCTAGGTGTTAATCTTGCTCTAATTCTAGCACTAATCGACAATAACCATTACTCATAATATCGCACAAAATCCATCAAGGAGAATAATCTACGTTATATATAGCTCAAGTAAAAAAAAAAAGAATTTTATTTCTCAAATTTTATCCTTTATTACCTTTAGTGCATTTTCATGAGTGGTTTAGATGGCAACATGGCGGGATATTATAGTTATAGTACATGATATGTTTGAATAAACTAGCATACTTTATAGATCCAGGATAAATTATTTTATACTGACTTGTATATTATGCTGCTACTAATGCATCCATAACAGCACACTCATTTGCTGCTTCATCACTTAATTGTTAATGTTTTACTTCTCTGGCTCACATGCTGTCTGATTGATGCATAAAAAATAAATAAATAAAAATCGTTGCTTTAGAAAAAAGAACATTGTAGCAGTGTTTATTATTTCAAATTGATTAGTAACTTTATTTGGAGATATCTTGGTCAGATGAAATAACTGTAGCAGTGTTTATTTCAAATTGAAGGCAGTGCTGTCTGTTGCAGGTAACCTCTACGTTAACATTTGCGGCAGCGTGCGCATCTGCAGGCATCACAGTGCTAATCGGCAATGATCTGGGAGCGTGTGGCAGCAATCACTGCGCAGAGTTTGAAACTGCTACGGCCATGGCCTTCCTCAGCTGGTTTGTCGCCTTGCCTTCATTTTTGCTAAATTTCTGGTCATTGGCATCGCGATGATTGTGGTTATGATTATGATTATGGCTGGCTAAGTAAGGTATTATTATGAATGATGGGTAGGTTTGTGTAATCTATGATTTGATGAGGGGGTGTGAGTGTGAGCAATGGTGTTTGTGTACAAACAAACAAACAAACAAAAGTGAAAATAGATGACATTCACTCACTGACTGTGATGTGTATAAAATTTTAAAATGTAATCAATTGCTTAGAGACGTGCAGTGTTGTGTGTTCTGTGCGTTTTATTTTTTCATAGCATGTTGGGTCGTAGGAGAAACTACTCAAGTGAAAGATTTCTTGCTAGGTTAATTTTAGTTTACTTTGACTGATTATTATTATTATTATTACTACTGCTACTACTACGGTGGCGGCTCCGGTGCTGTGCTGAAACCACATATACTATTACTACATATAACACACTGTATATACTAATAAATAATCACATGAACTATTAATATATGTTAATATATAAAAATATAACACATAATTAACAACTTATAATTTCATACAATATGTATTATATATAATAATAATAATAATAATAATAATAATTTGTGCTGTTGGAAAATTAGCAATTCAGCACCATAACCCTCTCTTATTATTATTATTATTATTGGCTATTATTATTATTATTATTATTGGCCAAGATATACTTTCATCATTTATATTTGGACATTGATCCCTCCCTGCTTGCTAATTGGATCCCGATCAGAATATACTTAAAAGTTGTGTTTGTTGGAGATTTTAAGTTGAGATTTGAATAGTCAAAATTTTAAATTTGAATAGTTGTATGATTGTGATGTTTTGAATGTAAAATTGATTTTTAGTATAATATAAAAAATGAAAAATAGGTGTTTGATTTGATATTTTTGAGGAAAAAATACAATGAATAGTGTATTTAAAATCTAATCCCAAAACAAACACATCATTGCAATAAATATAGTTAAAGTGCATATAATTATGGTATGGTCGTTTTGATTGATTTTAAAAAATAAGTAAAAGTCAAAAATAAGATTGTTTAGATAATTTTTATAAAAATGATTTTTTGGAAAAAAAAAAAATTGAAAGGAAACTGTCAAAAAATTATTTAAAGGGCATTTCTTTGTATAATGTTTTGGTTCAGGATATCTTTTGTAAGTGAAATATATAGAATTGTGTTCCTATTGGGGAAGAAAATTGTTGGAGCAACCCATATGTTAATATATCTTTCTATTAATTTTTTCTAGTTTTTTTTTTAAATTTTATTAATTATAATTAAAAGTTTTAAATTATTTAATATAATTGAAAATAACTACTTTAAATTTAAAAATCATTATTCAAAATTCAAATTTATAACCAAATACATTGTTGATGTTTATTAACTATAAAATATATTGTTTCATATATTAAAGTTAAAATTAAATTTTATTATTAAAAAAATTAGCTCGTTTCAACCTCACGTAAATCTTATTTTTCGTATTTTAAAAGATAAAATTGATAATCGAGTATACACATGATAGTTTTTGCAATTTTCCTAATTTACTTTCTATCTAACTCATTTTAGTATTAAAATGTTATTATTTTTTAATCTTCGTGTCCAACCAAACTTACATAAGTTTACCGGATGAAGGGAGTACAAATTTTGATGGAGCTCTTTGTAAATTATCACAAAAATGCATTAGCATATTACTTCTACATATGTGACCTTTAACACGTCTAATATGTCTATCTGCCGATGGCATGGCACACTACCTCAGCAATGGAATGGGGGTCAAGACACTATCGGCCGCTTTATGAACATCCGATGTTGGATACCTCCACGAGAAAAAGATCTTGTCAGTATCTATTAAAATAATCTTTCCGCAAGTATTTTTCTCAAAGCGGATATTAAAGAGTACAAATTGGTCATCGATTCAGCATTGGATAAAAGAGGGAAAATGTAACACCCTCAGTTAGCTCATACTGAAAATGCTACCGCCACACTGCATCATGAGGTCATCATCTCCTACTTCGAGCCCCATAATACAATTTTAAAGCTAAAATTAACCATAAAAACGCATTATTATATAACAAAATCTATTTATGAATATTTACAAAACACATTCCTAAACAAGAGGTTTTTCCGGTTAAAAATTTACATATAATACAATAAATGTAAGTTCACTCACTCAACCCGTCTTTCTATATCACAAGACGCCCCCTGTCCCGAAGGTGCCATGCATACCTGAAACAAATATTTTTCTTAAAAGCAGTTTAGAATTAAATCAATTTTAAGAACTAACGTGAAATATGTCATTTCATACATTATTAAAATAAAGTCTAATTTCCATCAATCATAAAATATGTGTCATGTCATGCCAATAGTGAAACGATCCAACAAAGATATCAAACTCGACAACAATGCACATGCACATATATATATATACATCCGCCGAAGTAAACAGTCGGAATAACCTCGGCTCCATAATAATAGACTCACTGCATCTGTCTAAGTGAGCAGCCGGAATAACCTCGGCTCCGTAATAACAAGCTCACTAGACCATCATCAATAAATAGCCGGAAAATCCTTGGCTCAAGGAAGGACCTGATAAACCCATAATAACATAACGGTCATCCGGTCACTTCTATATACCCACCATACGACTCCCATAATCAATACATGGATAGCGAACGTTGTCGCCATTAACCACAAGACACCCATAGTCTGTGATAGCGAAGATAGGATCCCCACTGACTAGCCCTATCCCGTGTAATGTAGTAGAATCCGTGCAACCTGGAATCACCCAAGGGAAAACCCGGAAACTCTAATCCTTCTTGCGCGCCCGTTATCACGTTTGGAGTTTGACATATGATTCTAAACTACCGGTAGACCTCACCAGTGGCCAGCCCAATGAGTGGAACAACACCTAACACGAATGATTAGACCAAATACGTCTCAACTACCATGGTTATAATCCTTAAATGACCGTGTGACTAACTCACTCAGTTGTCCGACTACCATCGTCCACTATCACCAAAGTGTTACGGTACATCGGGGTCGAATATCCTAACCCCAGATGATGCCCTCGCCTAGCACTACCGCACATGGAGACTAAACGATAGATCCATAAAACATATCTGATAAATCGTGCAATATGTGTGCAACATGTCAAATAAGTGAATTTAGCGAAAAGAGCTGATGAGACAGCTCACCTATCCTCATTTTCATAAATTCACCAACACGATCAAATGCGTATATCAAATATCATAAACCGTGAAGTCTCCCATATGCATACGCACACACATATATATATAAATATACATACACTGACAAAATGATTCACATAATATGACATTAACATATTAATCAGAATCGCATGCAACATGCATACCCAATTTCTTAAAATTGGATTTAATTTCTTACTGCTTACCTCTTATCGACACTCCCTAACTTTTGCAATCTCACCCAAATCTCCTCCAACGTACACCTGCCCCCATTATTTACTCAAATCAGATGAGCTATATGCTTATTCATAGGAGCTACCTGCTTATTCAAAAGCTAATTTCTATAATTAGCTCGTTGGGTTTCAAATTTTTATATTTAGTAGAATACGATATTCTAGTTATAAAACTCTTATACCTCACGCTCGATTATTAAATAAAAATACTTTAATAAACAGGCATGTGCAGTACACTGCCGTTTTCAATTCGGCTTCGATCGATACAAAATTCTCAAAATATAACGCTATAACTAAGAATAGACTATCAGCTAAAGTAATGATTAAATAGCCAAATAGTCAGTTATAAATTTTTGAAGAATTTTTAATTTAATATCCCCAATATCGAAATTCATATTAAAATCCATAATTGCATTCTACGTATAAAAAGGAATACAATACCAAAGTCTAAATTGAAATGGAATGACTATTTTTTTTTTTTCTTCTCTTTCTCCCTTCTTTCTTTCTCTATGTGGACATTTGCTTCTGCCTTCCTTGGCAAATGGGTTTGTTAAATTCTTTAATTTACTATATATATATATAATTATTATTATTAACGTTATCATCATCACTTCAGCTTATCCTATGCTTATTATTATATTATATATATATATATATTATATTTTTATATTTATTCTTATCGATATTTATCCGTTTAACAATTTTTATAATTATAACTAATATATAAAATAGGAATAAAATTTATTTTATAATATTAATTTCTTGTTCCTAAAATATTATAAAAATATATTTTTTTTTGTAATAATATTATTTTATATACTCCGAAATCGGGGTATTATAGAAAATGCCTTTGTAAAAATCAGTAGAATTATGCTTTGATTTATATGAAAAGAAAAAAGAAAAAGTAAGAAAGAAATAACAACTATAGCTCCAATCATAACGCAAAAATAGCCGGCTATACTTGCTACTTCTTCCCTAAAAACACATTAACAAACTTAGTTTCCATATTTTCTAAAGATTAAAATACATTATAGAAACCTAAAAACACATTATACAAGTTACACAACCTAAGTGAGAATTATGAATCGAAATATTGACCGAGAAAATTCGCAACAGAAGATTCTGTATCGAAATTTCGACGAGGGCATAAAACACAAACATTGATTGAGAGTTTGAGATTGGATTCACATCGGAGCATTTGCAGTTGAGAGATTCTGAATGACGAATGAAAAAATTGCACAAGAACAAAAAATCGCACAACAAGGATTTGGCGTAGAAGGGTTACAATTGAGAAGAAAAGAAATTGGATAAAAAGACTACAATGCCCTTATCTAATTACACTTGTTAGATCTAAAGTGAATGATTAAGATATTATAACATCAGCGTATGATCTTCTCCCTATAATTATACAATCTTACCTTAAACAAAACATACCCTGTCGTGTTGCCCTACTTCATCATTTTTTATTTCAACTAATTCATTCTTCATTTTTTATACTTTCTTCTTTTCGGCAGATAGTTTTTTTTTTTTTTTCATTTATATATTTTTATATATATTTCAAAAGAAATAAGTAACGAACTTGAACTGTCAATTTAAACTGACAATTAACAGTTAGACGAGTGTTGAAATTGAAATCATGAAAAATTTAATATTAATTTCAATTTGATGGCAATTTCGGATTTGAACCAGAACTAACCATTTGAATAAACTCAAAGCTCGTTGATGGACATGTCTATGAGAAAAATATCTGAAACTAGAATAATCAATCTGTTGAGCACAAAAAATAATAATAATAATTAATAATGGCAGTAGGATTCTGGATGGGTCTGAATATGAGCCAAACGGCCCAGAGGTCGGTTGAAAGAGTGAGGTCGGACGAAGAAGAAGCAGGTCAGTTGGTTTGCAGTCTGACCAAAGGAAGTTGATCGGTTGATTTGCAGTTCGACCAAAGTAAGTTGGTTGGTTGGCCCAGGGACAGGCCAAGGTAAGACGGTATGGTAGCGGAGTCAAAAGGAAGTCGGTTGGACCAGCCGTCCATCTAAGGAGATAAGGCAACCAGAGGATGTTGTTTCATCGTCGGCTGATCCGCGGTCGGTTGGTTCTCAGTCGGTTAAATAGGTCGGATAGTCTGCAGTCAGATAAGCAGGTCTGGTGGTCCGAAAGTCGGCCGCTACAGAGGTCGGCTGATAGGGAAGTCGGCTGCTACAGAGGTCGGCTGATAGGGAAGTCGGCTGCTAAGGAGGTCGGCCGCTACAGAGGTTGGCTAATACGGTTGTCGGTTGGTTTGCAGTCGGATGGTGTGTAGTCGGTTGGTCCGTGGTCGGACCAATTAAAGTCGGGCGAAGACGGAGAGGGGTTGATGCGGAGTTCGGACCAAGTGAGGTCGGGCGAAGAAGAATGAGACGGACGATGCGTGGTCGGACAAGAGACCAGATGGTGGTCGCTTGTTGGGGCGGCCAATGAATCGTTTGGTCTAGCGACCAGTTAGTCTTTGGATTAGTCGGGTGGCACATAGGTCGGGCGAAACGAAGTCGGGTAAGAAGGGACATGGCAGTAGATATGCAGGTCGGACGAAAGGCATTTCTTGGGCGGTTGGAGGAAGTTGCAATGGGCGAACGGTTGAAGGAAGTTGCAACACTTGTCGACAGAAGAGGACTTTCTAGGCGGTTGACAGCGGTTGCTGTAATCGACCAGACGGCAGTTCAAATCGTTTCTTTAAAGGGTTTTAAAGAGGTATGTTCCTGACCTAAGAAATCATCTTCAATCGACATCAAATTCACGAGAATTGCTTTTGCGGATCACCACTTTATTTTCCAGTTCTGTATTTTATTTTTCTATTTTATTTATGTATCCTACAGTGTTTAGAGATTCCTAATCTCAGTCACTCATCTATCAAATTCGAAGATATTTCATATTTTCAAGTTTTACTATTTATTGTTGAAAAATTGCATCAACACAACCTAAATCGAAATTTAAATATTGATTCGTTCTTTTTAATGTTCGAATTGGATTGAATTGAAATATTTCTAACATTCATATTCTCGGATTGATTTGACATGTGTTTTTTTGTTCTTTGTTTTTTTGTTTTTTGATTTATTAGAATATTATTTATTAATTAATTAATTTATCTTTTTTTTTAAAAAAAAAAAAATCAGATTTTGTGGTTTTATTTAGTATTGTATTATAATTTCATTGTTTATGGTTTTTCTATTATCTTATTTAAGTTCAGAATATTATTTATTTTTATTTTTTTAGTTCAAGTTTTATAATTCAAAATTTGGATTTGACAATTCAATTTGATTTGTTAGAATCTATAGGTGTTTTTTTTTTTTTTTATTGAAAATTATAATTTTGCAGGATAAATATTTAGTTAGGATTTACTACTTTTATATTACTTAAATAATTTTTATATCTTATATAAAAATATATATATATATTTTTCAAACAATTTCATTGAACAATTAAATCCTATTTTTCACCGGTTTTGTTTAGGCAAAATTTTTTAAAATATTTTAGAATTTTAAAAATAATAAAATATTATCATTGATGCAATATTTTATTTTGTTAGAGAAATATATATTTAATTTAATTTAATTTTTTTAAAAATAATAATATCAAAATCCAGATTTAATGTTGAGTTTTGACATGTCTAGCGGGAGGGAAATACGTCCCCAGCTTTATTTATTTATTTTATAGTAAAATCGAATTATTAACTTCGGAATTTTGCAAGCAGATCCCCCTCCCCACTGGTTCATATCCCACCACCATACAATCTTCTTCTTTTTTTTTTTTTTTTTCCCTCGGCTCGCGCACCTCGTTATCGGTCATCTTTTGCCCGCCCCTGTCACCGACCAAGCAACAGCAACAGTAACAGTACTTCCTCTAGTCGTCTTCCCTATTTTCCTTGCCCGTCGCCGTAATCACTAGTCCAGGATTTATCTGGGTACGCAGCACTCTTGCCTCTTTGTTGTCTTGCTCCTACCATTGTTTTTGAGATTTGTTTGGGTTGCAGTCTTGCTGGTGTTGTGAATTTAGGGTTAATCTTGGAATTTTATTTATTTATTTATTTTGGGTAAGGCTTTGTAGAAATTAGATTTTCTTGTTGCCTGTGCTGTAATTTGAAATTTTGATTTCGAATTTAGTTGTTAGCCGCTATGCAAGGAAGTGAAAGATTATGAGTGTGTCCGGCTGCAGGTTTAGTGTTATGTAATTTTTATTTTTTTGAATTTTTTTTCTTTCTATCTTCTACTTATTTATCCATTTGTGCAATGTACATGTTTGGCTACTTATTTATTACAGTTTATGCAAATTGATGATTTAGTGATGAATAAAAGTTTATTGTCTTGTAGATTTGGTTTCACGACTATGGAAAATGAGGTTCAAGATGTGGGTGCAAATAGTACAGAGACAGTCCAGTCCTATTATCCCCAGGTCTCTACAGAAGAAACTCCTCAAGTTGGAATGGAGTTCGATACCGAAGAAGAAGCATATCAATTCTACTTAGCTTATGCTAAAAAGGTAGGTTTTGGCATGAAAAGACATAAAATGCATAAAGATCAAGTGGGTAGGATAATATTGAGGAGGTTTTCTTGTAGTGCCGAAGGAAAAAGGGAAGTAGATAGGAGAAGTATCAACGTGAGAACTCCACGACCAATAACAAGATTTGATTGCAAGGCAACAATGAAGATTCGTTTGAAAGAGAATATGAAATATCAAATAATTGAGTTTGTTTCCGAACATACTCATCAGCTTACCTGTCCTCAAGAAACACATGCATGTAGAGGACAGAGGAGGATAAATGATGCTCATGTTGTCCACATTGATATAGGACTTGCTCCAAGAGTCTCGCATGATTTTATAGTTGAAGAAGTTGGTGGCCAAGATAGTTTAGGATTTATCAAGCAGGATTGCAAAAATTATCTGTGTTCAAAGAGAACAAAATATATGGAGATTGGGGATGTTGGAGGTATTCTGGAATATTTACAAGAGATGCAATGTAAAGATCCAAAATTTTCATATTTTATTCAAGTGGACGAAGATGATAAGATAACAAATATATTTTGGGTGGATGGTTGGATGAAAGCAAGTTATGATGATTTTGGTGATGTAGTCAGTTTCGATACAACATATAGAAAGAACAAGGAAAATCGTCCTCTTGCTTTATTTGTTGGTGTTAATCATCATAAGCAAACAGTTGTTTTTGGCGCTGCACTTTTATATGACGAGACAATTCCTTCATTTGAATGGTTATTTGACACGTTTGCCAGTATCATGGGTGGAAAAAAGCCTGTTACTATTTTGACAGATGAAGATGATGCTATGGCTAATGCATTGGTTGCAAGGTGGCCCGAGACTCATCACAAATTATGTATTTGGCATATTTATCAAAATGCTACAATACATTTGAGTGATATTTTTGAAAAGCACGAAAAGTTTGCACATGATTTTGGGAGATGTATCTATGACATTGAAGAAGAAGACGAATTTTTGTACGAATGGAATGAAATGTTGGTGAAGTATGATTTGTTGGAAAATGTTTGGTTGAAGAGGTTGTTTAGAGTGAAAGAAAAATGGGCATTGGTTTATGATCGTCAATTCTTTTGTGCCGATATTACTTCAACACAACGTAATGAGAGCATCCACAAGGTCATAAAAAAATATGTCAGTTCTAACAACAATTTGCGAATATTTTTTAAAGTGTTTGAGAAGTTGATTGAATACTACCGGTTCGAAGAGTTGAATGCTGATTTCGAAGCAAGTACAAGTGCTCAAGTTGTGCCAATTCAACTTTTGAAACATGCTGCAAGTTTGTATACACCTGAGGTTTTTAAGGATTTTCAAAATGAATTGTGGAAAGCCTTTGATTGCACTGGGGTTCTTAGGGGCGCATATGGAACAGTGGCAGAGTATCATGTTAGTTATCTTGGAAGAACAAAACCTCATGTTGTTAAATATAACTCTGGAGATGGTACTGTTTCTTGTAGTTGCAAAAAATTTGAATTTGGTGGGTTATTATGCTTTCATGCATTGAAAATTCTCACAAATAATAATATTTTGGAGATTCCAAAGCAGTATGTATTGAAGAGATGGACAAAATCGGCAAAGGTAGGATGTTTGCCTGGTAGAATAGCTTCATTGGAAGATCCAAGGACAAAATCGAGCACCAGGGGTACAGATTTGAGTTTGTTCTTCAACAAACTAGTTACAAGAGCTTCTGAAACTAAAGAAAGTTATGAGTTGATGAAAAGAATATTTGTGAAGACACTTGAAAGGGTGGACCAACACTTACACAGTAGAAAAGTTGTGTGTGAAGGATCATGTGTGAGGGATATATGTTCATGTAATAAACACAAAAGTGGATTGGAGAAGAACTCAAAGAAAAGAAATCAAACTGAAGCACAAAGAAATGAAGTTTTACCAGAGCCACAGGTACATAATTGTATTTCTTTGTAATTCCTTTTGTTTATGTGAAATTAACATGAAGATATTATTCCGTATGCAGCCATTCATTAATCAAACATATCTTGAAAGACGCGACATTGCCTTACAACAAAATCAAGCAGCTCAACATCAGGTTTATTTTTATTTTTGACAGTTTTTGGACCTCATACTCGACTTTTATAGTTGTGTTTTGTTTTACTAGTTTATGTTTTTTCTTTCTATTTAAGAATCAAGTTCTTACTCCAATACCAAGCATACATCCACAATTCCCCAATGACTCGACTTCTGCTATAAAGTTCTCTGAATCATTTGAGGTATTTTTTATATTATCAGTTGTGCTGTAATTGGATAAAATGTTGCATTTTTGCTCAATTACTATAACCTACATCTATGTAGGTTCAATCAGCCCGTCGTTACGACTGTTTTCCATGTAGCACCCCTGTAACTGCTAATCTTGGTGGTGAAAGAAGCGACCAGACTTCGCAACAATCTGATCTTCCCGAACAATCTGATCTTCGGTGAAGGTGTAAACAATCTGAGACTTTATTTAGATGGTTTGGGTGCTTACTGCTTTGGATGTTTAAACGGTTTGGATGTTTTATACTTTGTTTATGAAGGTATAAACAATGCGGGTGTTTTGGAATCGGAATTACTGCTTGTGGACGAGATGGTTTCTTGTATAGATTAAGTTTGGTTGCATTGTTTGTCCTGAACATTTGCTGTTTATTTTGTTGCATTCTTTTTGTTGTTGTTTTCAGGTTCGGGGTCCTGAAAATGGAGGCATCTGTGATCATATGTTTTACTGCTAGGTAATATAAGTTGTATATGCCCGCTTATTGTGTTCAATGGCTTTAATTTGATTCTATCCAGAATTTATTTAGTTTCCTGTTAAATCCAGATTGATGTGATAGCAAGGTATAGGCCAGGAATGCCTGTTTTGTCTGTTGTGATCCCTCGGAACTCAAGTCTTATCCACCAAGATGGAGTTTTAGCGGTGCATTTGAGGTATGCGCTTTCCAAAGTCATTCTAATATAAGTTATAACAATACTTCTATATCATATTGGTGAAAAATGCACGCCTTTATTACATATTGAATGAAAATGATATATGGTTCCTGAAACTCGGCATGGATCATAAAGGTGGGGCTTTCTATTAAACCTGTGAGTTAAATTTTTTATTGTTAATTGAAGAGTTCATGTCAGTCAAAAAGTCGTATGGAAAGAATCACTTGGAATTGGAAGCCGAGGCTGAGAGAACTAAGGATAGCTACAGGCATAAATACTGGAACTTGAGTGCTTGTTGAATAATTTAAGGAAGAATATAAATGAGATGGAGGATTTATCATAATCAAGATATTTTGGACGGAAACAAAAAGAAATTGATATAATCACTTCGTAGATTCTCAATTGGGATCTGTACAGTTGCTACAGAAGTCAGACTTTACATCTAAAATATGTTCTTCAAAATCGATGCTTTATCTTCTGAACTAGTATAGGAGTTGAAGTTGGCCTGTGAGTTCATAAAGCAGGAAATCTTGAAGATAAAGAATACCTATGCTGAAGAATTTTTATCATTTTGGCATGAACACATTGGAATATTCTGCCCCATATATATATATATATATTCCGAACTTCTGAAACTTATATTTAAGTATTTTCTTATATCATTTATTGGGAATGGTCAGGCTTAAACTTCAAGGACTTGATAGATGCTGCTAAAATTATCTGTGTGTGTCCTTGAAGAAAATCGGAAGCTATACTCTATTGCATATGAAATTAGTGCCCAAATAGTTGAAATATATACTTTTTTTTTTCCACCATGCAGCTCACAAGAAATTTATTACAAAATTACAGTTTGTACGAATTTGGTTGTTGGTTGCTCACAAGTGTGTAATGATCTGCAGGATCTTGATTCATTGCTTTTGGATGATCCGACAAACCACCTTGATGTCGATCCGATTGAGTGGCAAGAGGGTTGTACTAAAACAGGATTTATCATTGGCTATCATATGCTATGACAGCAGTTTTTTCTTGATCAAGTAAATATGTACAAAAATTATGCATTCAGTTTAATTAGCTAATACTCCTCTTTACTTTCACTAGATTAGTTTTAAGCTAATCTTTTTATTCCGTGTCAGTGTGTTTGTGACAATTTTATGAAGTGTTATTATGTTTTGTTAGGTAACATATAATACAAAAAAAATAGTAACATATTTGTAATGAAAATTAAGGAATTGATGATGTTAGGGCTTGTTTGCTTAGGCTTGACTTAGGGAGTATTTGACAATGGGCTGATAGCTTTCAGCTGTTAGCTGATTCAATTAACAATTAGTTGTAACTGTTTGTATTAACTGTTTGACATTATTTGTTTATACATAAAATGATATGTTATTTTTTAAAATATTTAATTTTGTTCATTTTGGCTAGAAATTTATGAGAATTTTTGTTATTAATTATTGAAAATTATAAAAATATTATAAAATATTTATTTTTATTTTTATTATTTAAATCTGAGAAAATTATTTTTACTAAAAAATAATAATTTTTTATTGAAATTATGTAAAATATAAAATAATAAATCTTTCGTATATATATTTTTATTATGTTAATTATTATTTTAATATATATAAATAAATTAATAACCTTTGTTTTTTTTATTTGATTTAGTTTTAAAATTTTGTATATTTTACAAATAAAATAATTTATATGTAATAATTAATAATAGTAATTATTATAAATTTACAAAAATAAAAATACAATTTAATAAATTAAATATATTAAAAATAATTAATAAATACTGCTATAAAAATATATTTATATGTATAAAATAAATAATTAAGTTTTAAGGGTAAATAAGGAATAACCAAATTTAAAATGAAAAAGCTCTTTAAAAACGTTGGGTAGACGAGCTTTTCAAAAATTAGATTTTTAGGTTAAAAAACTGTTTGAAAAAGCTAATTTACCAAACACCTAAATTAATTTTTTTGACTAATCAACAGCTAAAAAAGCTGTTCAATAACCTAAAAACTCTTCAAAGCCTGTTTCCCAAACACCCTCTTAGACTTTTTAGCATATTGGGTTGTAGCAGATTGGGTTGCTTGTATAGTAAGAGTGGGCTGCTTGTATAGTAATATATCAATAGACCACAATAGTATAACAAAACTAAAAATCATTATAATAAGAAAATAATGTCAATAACATTGTTTCATTATAAAAAATTATAACTATTTGGTAGGGTACGAATTTTAGTAAAAATAGTTAAAAATAATATATATATATATTTTTTTTATAGTTAAAAAATATATATAAGTAGTATTTTTTTTATTAAGAAAAATAAATAACTATTTCTTTTATAACAATTAAAAATTAAACATAATGATATAAGTTATATATAAGTAGTATTTTTTTTATTAAGAAAAATAAAATAACTATTTCTTATATAATAATTAAAAATTAAACATAATGATATAAGTTTTAGGGCGTGTTTGGCAATTAGCTAATAGTTGTTAGTTGTTAGCTGATTCAATTAGTGATAGTTGTTAGATGTTTGATATTAGTTATTTATACGTAAAATGACAATTGAGGACATTTCTATTTTATTTTTGTTTATAATATATTCAATTATTTTCTTTTGATTTTAGAATGATTAAAATTTTTTGTTATTATATTGAAAATTGTAAAAGTGTTATAAAAATATTTATTTTTATTACAGTTAGTTTTAAAAAATAATATATTTTTATTAAAATATATAAATAGTTTTTTCTATTGAAAATGATGTAAAATATAAAATAATAAATTTTTCATGTATATATTTATTATGTTAATTATCGATTAGTTCATTATATTTATAATTTTCAATAAATTTAATTTATTTAATTTAATTTATTTTTAGTATAAAATTTATATAATGTAATTTGAATATAAAAATCCATTATTAATATTTATATGTTTTATTTTATGTTGATTTTAATAAATTTATATATTTTACAATTAAAATAATTTTTATATAAAAATTAATTATTTTAAATTTATAAAAGTAAAACTATAATATAATAAAATATTATAATATAATTAATAAATAATCAAAATATATTTATTTGTGTAAAATGCATAATAAATTTTTAAGAGCATAAGGAATAAAAATATTTTTAAAAAAAAGTTATTTCAAAACGCTAGGTAAGTTTAGGTCAAAAAATTATTTCAAAAAACTAATTTACCAAACACTCAAAAATTGGCTAATTGGACCAAAAAGTTATTTTAGCATAAATTATGTTAAATGGGTTATGTTTATGTTTATCAGTATTGGCGGTAGCTTTTTATCCTTATTAATTTTTAATTTGATATTTTTTAGTATATTTAAATATTTTCAAATTTTTTAGTCTGTTTCGTATTAGCTTCGTTTTTAGCTTCGTTCGAATTTCGAATAATCTAAAATTAAATCAAGTTAACTCGAACTTAACTTGAAAAAAATCTTATTGTGTCTAACTTTAATATTTCGAGTAAAAATTTGGATTTGTATTTAAGTCAGACTCAAATTAACATATTCTGTTATACTCATAGCTCAAGGTGATATGAACACGATCGAATTAACACCCCTATAAAAATATAATCGTAAATAAATAACACATAATACAATAATATACCATGCATACCTATTATACTATATTAACATACATAAGTATATATATATATATATATATGCATACGATATAATTAGCGTTAAAAATAATTAATATTTTTATTAATTAATTTTATAATATATAATATAAATTACTTGCAATTAAACACATTAACATTTTGTCTGGCTTACCTAACTTGGTTAGAGTAATTTGTATTAATCGGCATATTATTAAATTTGGAAACAAAACTCTAATTTTAACACTAAAAATAATTAAGACATAATATTAGTGACAAATTGTCCCCAACCCTAAACAAAACCCTAATTTTAATTTTTCAATATTCAATCAAATCGATCTTCTATAACAGAATTGCCAATTCACAAACACACAGAACAGATTAATTCTTAAATTGCACTGCTTAATCAATTTCCATCCTCATTCCCAATGGCGAAGAAGCAAGCGCCACCCGAGAGAACCAGAGCCAATTCCAAATCCCCAGCCAAGAAACTAGTTCAAACCAAACCCGGAAGAACCAGAAGCAGACTAAAGGTTGCCGATGAGGCTATCGCGGAATCTCCAAACGGGAACGGCGAAGAGAAGAAGGGATCACGGAGCAGGATCGGAAAGGCGAGCGTGAAAAGGAGGATTAAAGAGGACGACGACGACGAAGGCGACTGCGAGAATGAGAATGACAATGTTCTGTATAGGCTTCCAATGAATCGCGTTAGCCGGATTATCAGGACTGAGAATCTCGATATCAGGATTTCGCAGGAGGCTGTCTTCGTCATCAACAGGGCTACGGTACGCCTTTCAGTTTTCCCCTAATTGCGATGATTTAGGGTTTTTTTTTTTTTATTGTTTGCTGCAATTTGGCAAACATTCCCGACAAATGCCAAATCCTCCTCTTTGATTTTTGTTGAATTTATTTATCTAGGGTTTAGGAAGCTGTGTAAGGTGAGATTGTTTCAGTGAATTCCAGAAGATTATGTTAGATGCTCTTCAATGATTTATGTTTCTGATATTATGCAGCAAAGAAGAATTTGGGTGTCATATTATGTTCTTCATGTTGCTTTTGGCAAAATTTTTCATTTGAATCTCTTTGCAAATATGATAAGAACATATTGGTAATGGAATCCAATTAGAGATTTAAGCTACTGGAATTGGTATCAAGTCAATTTCCATGATCAACCTCCTTCAAAAGTTTTTTACAAAGTAAGTGCAAGAAGAGGAACTATTACCTTTCTTTTGTTCACACTGTGGTTGAAAATATAAGTATACAGTGTTCGATCAATTGTTAAAGCAAGATTGGATTTCATGGAAACTTTTTCATTTTGCTTGCAAGTCATGTATGGTGTGTTTGTTTGTGGGTTTTAGTTTTTGAATTTTGATTTTTGAATTGTAAAAAGTTGAATTTGAATAGTTGTTTGATGTGATATAAATAGAGGTTGATTTGATGTTTTGAATGTAAAATAAATTTGAAGTACAATATAAAAAAAGAAAAGTAATTGTTTGATGTGATATTTTTGGAGGAAAAAAAGAATTTGAATAATAAAAACCTGTGTAAAACCAACAAAAGAACACAACTGTAGTGTTTTATTTACTGTTTTATGCTAATATGGCGTGCCCTCACTCTTTCTTTCTGAATCAATTGTGCCAAAAACTAGTGTTAGTCATGATGGTAGACGAGGGAAGGCAGTCCTCTGGATTCTTACGAGTCTGATTTGATGTGAAAATGCAGCTGTTTGTTGTGCAGAAAATTAGAGTGTCTTAGTATTTGAAATATTGTGTTGCCATCTAGATTTAGCATCTCAATAGCTTCAAATAGTAGTTATTTGCTTTATAGATCACAATTTCGATGTGTTGTTGAATGGAATGTATCTAAAGTTTGGCTAATCTTTGTGTTTTCTGGTTGCAGGAGAAGTTTCTTCAACTGCTCTGCAGTGAGGCCTATGCTCGTTCACTTGTTGACAAAAAGAAATTTGTGGCTTACAACCATTTGGGTACAAATTCCTCTTTCTAAGAACTTTTTCATTAGTTTTAGAAGTGTCAAATGCATGCATTACAATCATTCCCTAACAATATGCATAGCTTCAGATTCATCAAATAGTTTTTCGTTTTAGATTTCCCTTTTTATAGTATATTCTAAATAGAAAAATCTAAGATGAAATAGGTTCCACCAGAAAGAGTGGAAAGTATTAGTATTAGAGGTCATAGGTGCATATATCTCTGTTGTCACTTTAATGGACAATAGAAGCCTATGCCAAAACAGTCTAAAAGAAATATGTTTGCACTTTTTTGAGTGGGCGAAACTGAATGCTGCATGTATTCTCGGTTGCATAATGTGTTCACAAAATCTATCCATTATAAATCAATTGAAATTTTATGCTACTCCTCTTTAAATATACTTAATTAGATAATTGCAGCTGTCAATATGTCTCAAAACTTTATGCTTCGAATCATCCTCGAAACAGCTATTCAGAATTGTTCCTGTACAAGATAAAATGATGCTGACAGTTTCCCATAATGAATCCTGTAACTAGTTATTATGATCTTTTTTTAATAGAAGTATGCTTAGGAAGATGAAAGATCTACCTGACATTGTTTTGCAAACTCCATTCTATAACATAGTTGAAATGTGTATTATATAGAAAGCCCATACAAGTGCTGCATTTTATTGTCTACTGTTTCTTTAAGTTTTCACCTTGACCTTTTTTGTGTCATGTTCCTTTTTCAATTTCGGAGCTTAGGGCATGAAGTGAACGGGCATGTTTCTGAATTTTTAAGTATACTTGTGCTGAAAGTTAATTGAATTTATCGTACTTTTGCTCCACCCACTGTTGTGCTTCTTCCAAAATACACTTGTAGCATAGATTTAACAGAGTTTGGTTGAGTACTGTTGTTAATAACTACAAAATTACAATGGAGTTGTGAATAATTTTATTGTGTTTAAATTATAAAATGCAGTGTAGTTGAGGTATATGTATATATAGATATAATCATTTTTCACCAGCGTTTCTGTCTTGAGCACATTTTTATGAATTTGTCATGCAGCTTCAACGATTTCCAAGAGGGAATGCTATACATTCCTCTCAGGTATTTCATTCCTTCTTAGGCCATTCTTACCATGATTTATTTTACATTCTAACTCTGTTTTGTTCGTGTGCTTAGATTTTATTCCCCAAAAGGTGAAGGCTGAGGATGCTTTAGCGCAAATGCAGGAGGCAGAAGAACAAACTCCATCATCCGGGTGACTAACTTATTCTATATTGGATCATTCTTGAAATTTAATTCTGCAATTTTACTGTGTTTTGTAGTCTATTGTATCATTGACCAGTAAAAGACACATTGTAGTTACTATTTTGAGCTTTAGCTCCTTAGGCATGTGTGGTGCCGTTCGCGAACTATGGCATGGAAGAATAGGTAACTCCCTCCAGGAAGTCGGAAATATATAAGCTAACCCCCCTTTAAGATTATATAATTCATAATTTGTGTTGTATTTATGCTTTTGTTCCTTTTTGGAAGTTACAAATTAGATGTTTGAGCTATCAGCGGCAGCCATCGACTTGTGTTTTCGTAAGGACCAATGATGTCTGATACTAAGCTTAGGTTGAATCGAGTATCGAATGATTACGAGGGTCTGAAAGTTGTTTGTCTATGTAGTAAGGTCGCAAGTAGTTAAGGCATATATACCATACCAGTGTAGGAAAATAACTTATAATCAACTCATACATGCATAACTAATCTTTTTATGTTGTCAAGAAATGCCCACTTCTTTATTTTTATTTCATTGAAGCTTTGAACTATGATACATGCAATTTCAAAATGTCTAATGATGTCAATCAACACCAAGTTGATTTGACCTGATTAGCACTATAATTGCTCCCTATATATCCCAACATTTGATTTGATTTTATGTGAACCTCTATCTGTCCAAGACTTGTGTACCCACCAATCTAGTGTAAATGTAATCCAAAGAAGATGAAAAGAGATATTGTGATAAGGGACAAAAAGCCAAAAATAAGGGGAAAAAGATTGATTACCTTGGCTAGGAATGATAGAGAGAGAGAGAGAGAGAGAGAGAGAGAGAGCTGTCCAATGATTGACTCATTCATTCCCTGCTCATGTAGTAATGCATGTGCACTGTTTTCCTGTACTCTGCAATAAGGGATCTTTTATGAGAAAAAATTATATTCACTTGTCAATTTATTTATTTTTTCTATTTTGATATGTTCTACAACAAATTATTTATTTTTTTTTTTAGTAATTGTATTATCTATTTAGCATTATAAATACTTTTCTAATTTATAAAATATATTACATAAATATCATTATTTTTATGTCATATAATACTAACTGGGCTAATTTAATTTTTTTACCTTTATTTTTACTGCATCTTAATATAATATTAATATTTTTAAAAGTTTGTGCAAAAAGTAATTGGATATAAAGTTATGGGACAGAGGGAGCATTTAATATGACATTAAAAAAAGAAAAAAAAAAGAAAAATTACTCTAGATGAATTGTGCGAGAAAAAACCTTGAGGATTCTTCCATAAGGATGCTGCGGAGCTGTTAAGTGGGCTCTCGATGTTAGGTTCTGCAACACAACAAATTTTATTGATAGTATGTTGTTATTCATGATCAATTTAATTCAACACACCTAAACGGTGCCTACCTCCTAATAAGCTCTGAATCGACAAAAGAATGGTTCGGCAGTCATATGCTGAAGACCACTTCTCCTGTAACACAACAATACACCACAACCAAACCATCTCTATTCAAACTCAAACCAAATTTTAAACTCAAATGGAAGACAAATCCTTGATCATACCTGAAGAATGTCTAGACAAATATTTCCAAACTGGTCTATATTCGGATGGAAGCATGCCGTCACAAACTTAACTTGAGGCGGCTTAAATGGATAATCGAGTGGAAACCGTAGGGCAAGCTTGTAAGATAGACCTTCATACATAGTGCCCTTGCCCCCTTCAATGGTCCCAATCCAACTAAAAATGCTCTCCCCATCTGGAAATGCAGATACACCAAGATCCCCTCCGCTCATCTATTCAAATCAGACAACCATCAAACAATCGTGTATGTAACTACACAACATGAACTTCCATAAGATTATCGTGTATAAAAAGGAAGCTATAGTTCATCTAACACAACATCATAAGATTGTAATCATACCACAAGCCCTTTTCTTGATTACTCGATGAGGTGGGATCCTCGGTAACAAGAATTGTATTTACATTCTTAACGAAACATAGTAAATAACTATGATTCACATTTTAGAAAATGATGGAGCAATCAATACACGGTATGTAACTACCAGACTCCATCTTCCTCAACCTATACCCCGAAAAACACTTAAAACAATAAAATGAGAGTTATCCACAGAAAATGGCAAAGAACACCACAAGATTGCAGCGGCCTGCGAAAACAATCTTTTGATTTCCCAATAAGCCGGGATTGTCAGTAACAAGACTCGTATTACATCCTAAACAAAACATAGCATGGCAACTAAATAAGACATACATATTAGAAAACTGTCAGAACAATCACTATACAATTTATAAATACATCACACAAACAACATAATGGCTCCCTCAATCTGTATCCTAAACACAAAGAAACTGAAAATTCAGCTACAGAGAACATAATTTATGTTGAAACAAAGGCTATGCCACAAGAACACTAAGAACTTGCACTGTATTCCTGCAAGAAGAGATTTTGAACCCTATATGAAATATATGTTCTAAGTCACACTCATTCAATTTTGTTTTTGCACTATTTATCGAAATTTCTCCCTCATGGCAAAATATTTTTTTGTTCTCTATTCTAGACTCAAACTAATTCAAAATACCATAACACTTTCGAAACATAGCTAAAACATGCCCTTAAATTTTGATTGGTTTGATATGTACTAGTCGTTGAAAAACTAAAGAAGTTGTCTACATTTTTCCCATAAGGAATAAAATCAACATCTGAAAGTTTCCTGTAAATTTGAAGTTATCGTGATATTCAGTAATTTTCCATTATCCGTTATTCTTTTCTCTTCAGCTTTGGAACCATTTTTATGTTCTGGCAAGGTGGGTGTATGAGAAAAGGAAATTCATTCAAATTAACAAATTGAGAACAATGAAGTTACGAACACAGGTAATTTCCACAAAAGATGAAATTCGTCAGTTGACACTGAATCGGAAACTATTGTAATTAACAAGGAGAAGAGTAAGGGGAACAAATATCCCAATTAAAGTATCAAACATACCATGAGAGCCATCAGCTCCTTCTGTAACCTGTGCGGACATAAACAAAGAAAAGAAATAAAAACCAAACAGAATCACGATGATTAAACCAAGAATTTTCATCGATAAACTACCTCCAATTTCATTAAATAAATCAAAAAAATAAAAATCGAGAAGTAAGAAGCGTTACCTCTGTGTAACAGAATTAGTATCAACATGTTTTGGAGAAGCCACGAGTTGCTTCGATTGAGTAAGTAGAGATTGGTGTTCTTGGTGACGCGAGTGAACATCTTCCTCTTGTCGAACCTCCATATCGGAGTCGCAAAATTCAATGTCCTAAATTCCTCCTTTCCGGCGCCTAACTTTTTGGAAAAGATCTGATCGATGGATCAGTTGGTGGAATGGATTTCTGAAATTAGTCTTGGTTGGTTGGTTGGTTGGTTCCTAATCAAAATCTTGCAGTGGAATTGTGAAGTGTGGAACAGACAGACAGACAGACAGAGACACAGATAGAGAGAGAGATAAGAGACCTGAGAAGAAGAGACGGACGTGGAGAAGCGCAACGTGGAATGTATGCACTTCTTTAGGCTATATGCAAATTTTCGAAATCCGAATTTAAAAATAAGTACATTAAAAAAATAATTAAATTTCAATTAATTAAAAATATCTGCAAATATTTCAAATATAAATTTTATATCAAAACAAAACGCAGTAAAAATTAAGAAAAAATTACAAAAATACTTTCGAATGATGTTTGTACAAAAAATATTATATATATTTTTAATGTTAAGTAAGTACAAGGTAAATGTGATCTTAGAGGGAGACGATTAGATTCAATTCGGTTCACTCAAAATCGAATTGAATTTACTTGGGGCGTGTTTGGCAATTAGCTGGTTTGACTAGCTGATTCGATTAGCCGTTTGTATTAAAATGTTTGGTAAAACAACCGTTTGATATTAGTTGTTTATACGTAAAATAACAATCGAAAGACATTTCTATTTTATTCTTGTTTCTAATATATTCAATTATGATTTTTTGAGTTTAGAATGTTTAAAATTTTTTGTTATTAGTTATTGAAAATTGTAAAAGTGTTATAAAAGTACTTGTGTTTATTACAGTTAGATTTAAAAAATAATATATTTTTATTAAAATATATAAATAGTATTTTTTATTGAAAATGATGTAAAACATAAAATAATAAATTTTTCGTGTATATATTTATTATATTAGTTATCGATTAGTTATTATATTTATAATTTTCAATAAATTTAATTTATTTTTAGTATAAAATTTATATAATGTAATTTTAATAAAAAAATAAATTATTAATATTTATATTTTTTATTTATGTTGATTTTAATAAATTTATATATTTTACAATTAAAATAATTTTTATATAAAAATTAATTATTTTAAATTTATAAAAGTAAAACTATAATATAATAAAATATTCTAATATAATTAATAAATAATCAAAATATATTTATTTGTGTAAAATGTATAATAAATTTTTAAGGGCATATAAGGAATAAAAAATTTTTTACCGAAAAAGCTATTTCAAAACGCTGGGTAAGTTAGCTTTTCAAAAATTAGCTTTTTGGGTCCAAAAAGCTATTTCAAAAAACTAATTTATCAAACACCTAAATTAACTTTTTGACTGATCAAACAGCTAAAAAAAACTGTTCAATAAGCTAAAAGCTCTTCAAAAAGCTATTTGCCAAACACTCACTTGGTTAACCGAAAATTCGAATTGTGGTCCACACCTACACTTCTTCGTTCCTGGTAATTTAAAATGTTCTATTATTAAAATTAAATTTGGAAACCGACCTTCATATTTAAAGAAATAAAATAAAATAAGTAAAATTTAACTATATGTAGATTTAGATTTTTTTTAGTTAGGAATTTTCTTTTCATTTTAAATAGAAAAGAAAATTGATATAATGTTGTGTGAAATAAAATAAATATTTAATGTATATATATTTAAATACAATTAATGAATAATGTTAATTTATTTATATATTTTTTTAAGAAATATGTATTTAAATAAATATTCCTTCAAGTTGCTCTCCACTCAAAAGGATGGATGATCAGCGTATAAGTTGTATGGATGAAGACATGGTCTCTTTGGATCCGAATGAATTCCATTCAAAGAAGGAGCCTTATAAGAGCACAAACAATTATTTTTATTTGGACGGCTTCCTTGATGGACTTTATTTGCAGAGGCGAAAAAACCTACACACAATGGCCTTTCAATTGAGGGAAAAATTTCGATCCAACTACGTCTCTGAGCAATTGCAATGGTAATAGGAGAAAAAGGCTTCGTCTGATTACCTGTCATATCAAAATATTCAATATTCTATAGATAGGGAAGAGAAATGATCCAGTAGCTTTATTTGAGAAAAAGAAAGAAGAAGAAAAAGAGAAAAAGAGAGAAAATGTGAGAAAGAGAAGGAGAGAAAGAAAATAGAGAGAAAAAAAGAAAAAAAAAAAGAAAAAGAAAAGAAGAGAACCAATAAGAGAAAGTGAGAAAGGGAAAAGCTAAGGTAAAAAGAGAAAAAGAGCTTCTTCTTCTGCACCAAGTGGCAGTCAAGTATTTTTATTTTTTTTTATCCAAATAAAAATCCCTGTACTACTTATTTTCAAAAACTTCAACACAAAACCTCGCTAATGACAAAAAATCCTTGTATCAAAGAGCCACTACAATTGCTCTCGACTTCTCCTCCTCATTCTTTCCGCAATATTTTGTCTCTCTCCTTCAATTTTCTTATATTTTGCATTCTTAAAAAATTATACGCAGACAAAAAAACAAATTTAAGAAAAAAAAAATAAAAAAAAGGGGTAAACTGTTTTTTTAGTCCCGTAATTGGATCCTTTATCATTTTAGTCTAGTAGAGCCTGTAGCAAACTAGTCTCATAAGTGAAAAATTTTCGCTGTTTTAGTCCTCTGGCGCCGCAGACGCCCGCGTGGCACACCGGAGGTGACTTGTCCGCCAGGTGTCCCGCTAGGTCAACGACGCCTGACGGACACGTAGATTTATTATTTTTTTATTGTATCAAATAAAAAAAATTAAAAAAATACAAATAAAATTTAAAATAAATTAAAATTTTAAAAAAATAAAAATAAAATAAAATAAAAAATCCACGTGTCCGCCACGTCAGCAACACCTAGCGGACACGTCACATCCGGCGAGCTACGCGGGCATCTCAGACGCCGGAGGACTAAAATAGCGAAAATTTTTCACTTATAAAACTAGTTTGCGACAGACTCCACTTAGAAAACTAAAATGATAAAGGGTCCAGTTACGGGATTTAAAATTGAGAAAGACAAAGAAGCATGGGAACGGAAGAATAAGAAGTATAAAAAGGAATTTGAGAAGAATGGAGAAGGAAGAAGGAGAATCACAAACACAAAATTCAGAAAGGACCATCGCTCACCGGAGCTCGATTGGAGAAAAGCTCCGATGCCGACCTTCTTTGACGCCGGAAATCGCAAGTGTGGTGGATGGAGGTAATGATTTGGGAGATTCGTCCAAGTAATTTAGGAAAGATTCATCCAAGATTCTTATTAACGAAAGACAGGATTAACTAAGGTTCTTCAAGCAGGCATAAGGAAATTAAATGGTATTCCCGTAGCACTTGGAGTTATGAATTTTTAGTTTATGGAGATAGTATGGAATCCGTAGTCAGAGAGAAAATCACTCGTTGATTGAGTATGCTACCAATCAATTTCTACCTCTTATTATAGTGTGCGCTTCAAGGGGGAGGGCACGCACGTATGCAAGAAGGAAGTTTGAGCTTGATGTAAATGACTAAAATATCGTCTATTTTATATAATTATTAATCAAATATAAAGTTTTTTTTTACGTATCCTTACATCTCTTACTTCTTGTAGGGTAACAATTAGTTTTGGAATATTGGGGAATATCATTATTGGCGAGCCCAACTCCTGCATTGCATTTGCGGGTAAAAGAGTAATTGAACAAATATTGAATAAAGCAGTCATCGAGGGTTCACAAATCTCTTATATTTATTCTAGAATGACTTATTCAACCTAATCGTACCACATAATCTTTTACAAAGCGTTATGAATGAGCTATTTAAAGTGAATGTCTTCTTTCATTTAAATTGAAATTCTATTAGGCAGTATGGACTAAGTTCAATTATTTTATATGTAGCAAACAAGTAGTTAACTAGTCGGAATTAAAGTCACACACACAGATTTTAGGGTGCGTTTGATTGAGGTAATTATATTTTGGCTAAAATAGTTATAATTAGCAATATGGAAAATTTGTACTATTTTCTTTAGTGATTTAAAAATTGCATGAATATTTCTTATAATTTCAAAATATTGCACAAAATTCTATTTTGAGAGGATGCTATATAATATTTTTTAACAAAAATACAATGAAATTTCATACAATTTTTATGGAATTTTGTGCAATGTTATTTTATGAAACGGGAGAGAGACTCGTGTATTTTTTTTTAAAATCATACTGAAGTATGATGTAAAATTTTCAAACCACAAGTAGATTATAAATAATTTTACTTTATATTTTTCATCTTGATATTTGATTGTCTTTTTAATTATATTCTCATAACCTCAAATTTATATTGATCGTCTTAAAGTTCACTAATTGTCACAAATATAATTCTTGTATAATTCATATTTTATGTAAACTTTTTGTTTTTGTTTGCTTTATGTGTAAGCTTTAAGCTATTGTTCTGTATCTATTTTTTAAAAGGGAACCAATTACTATAATTTATTTGAATAGTGGGATGAAGAACATATGTTATATATAAAGAGGTAATTATCGCATTTGGTTCTAAAGGTGCATAAGTATTAATTTATATAAAAAAGTATATTCTATTATACCTATATATTTATATAAAAATTATATAATTATTATTAAGTAATTTTTAATATATAACTATTATATTATGATTATATATATATATATATTTGATTTTTAAGAGAATTTTGACAACTTTTTATATTTTTAGATAAAAATACTTATTAATTATATATTTTATATAAAATATAACTAACATTTTTTAATTTTGCAATATTATTTGATTAAATTTTTAATTATTATAATTAAATACAAAATATAATTTAAAAGCATAAATAAGTTATAATTATAAAATTTTATATATAATATATTCAATCATATTATTATCTATATTATATTTATATAAAAGGAGAATATTTATGTGTTTTTATGTATTTTTTCATTTTTTAAATTTAGTTCTTGTTGTGAATTTATATCCCGAATCAAAGATTTTATTCAAATAATATCTTGTATATAAAATACCAATTAATTAATAGTGGAAGCGAAATTCGAATAAAAACAAAATAAATATAAACTAATATCGAAATGAAATTGAACACTAATTAATAAGGTATATTAGAATTTTAGGAATTGAAAATAACACAAAAAAAATAAATAAATAAATAAACATACCTAGAACTTAATTACAACAAACAAAATTGAACTGAAATGAATCTCCCTATTTTAATTCTTCTCTGTTCTTGTTTCATTCAGCCACAGCAAACAATTCCATTCTGAATCGAATTAGAGAGCCACCGAAGACGATGATGGACTACCGGCGGACACCTTCCGGACAGCGGCGGTAGGCAGTGATTTCCAGAGACGATCAGATCGTCTTCCCTGGCCGGTCATCTTCTCGGACAAAGGGACGGATGATGTTCGACTCAGTTCATGGTGCGAATGGCCCAAGGTAACCACGAGTGCAAGGTGGAGGTTGTTAGAAATAATTCTCAAATCAAATATGTTACCAAAAGCGAATACAATAATTAAACAAACCTCATTCTTAAAATTAAATTTGTCTTTTAGATCTTCTTGTTCTTCAAGTAATCAATAGGTTGGAACTCTAGGAAAGTGGAGGTCAGCTCGACATTTTAAACCTCGACACCCACCGAAATCGGCGTAAGAAAAAAGTCTTGAACCTCACAAGAAAAACTATTCACTTGAATTTTACTTCGGCTCTTTTCTCTTAGTCTCTCACTATCTCACACGATTTTTTCACACTAAAAACTAATATGTTTTAACCCTCAAAATTAACTCAACGGGCAAAAGGTTTAGGCTTGAAAATAGAATAAAGGATTTGGGCCGATCCAATGGTCGGAGTAAGGAGTAGATCAACTTATTTTATTTATCGAGGGACTCGTTAAAATAGATCTCGGACGGTCAAATTTTTCAACTGTTCTATTTTTTTTAGTTTAATTATTCTTAATTAATTATGTTAATTCTGATTTTGGATAAAATTATTTTTGTATTTATTTATGAAACTTTGAAGTTTCATAAGTTTTGAATTAGAATTTTTTAATAAGAGTTTTTTTTTTTTACGCTAATAAATTTATTATTTCATTTAAAACAAATTCTATATAAAAAAATTAAAAAATAACATTATTTAGAGAAGATTATAATTAATACATAAAAAAATTAAAGAACAATGAACTATATTTAGATTTATTAATATATTTATAATTATTTTATATAATTAATATCATTAAATTTATTTTTTTCAATATAAATTAATAAAATATATATATTTTTTTATAATTATATTTAGTATTTAATATAATTTAATTAATATAAACTTTATACATTAAGTTAAAAAGAAATACTAATATAAATAAATTAAAACACTTTTCTCTCCTCCATGCGTATGGTATATATAATTACTTATGGATACCTTATACAATAATTAATTAATATTAATTCTTTCACAAATAATACACATATATTATCACTCGTTCATTCCTGCCCCGATTGTTTTCGTCAGCAGTGAATGTGTGTGATCGATAACTACAATTATCCATCTATCCATTCTATTAAAAAAGATTTATATATATATATGGAATAAAAGAAATAATACATATATATATATATATATAATCTACCTGATGATCCGATCCGATCCGATCCGAATGAACGGTCAGGATCGGCGGGCGGTTCTCTTGTCGAACGAAAAATCCCTAAGACTCCCAGCATCAATAGTACTAACTCTATACCTCTCCCGCGGCAATGCCTCCATCTCAATCCGGTGCTCGCCTTCTTTAGTGTCGTTGAAGAACAGCCTATCGTCATCATCATCGTCGATTTTATCATCCAACGGCGACCGTTGCGCCACCACAGAGCCACCTTGTAGGCTGTCGATATTATTCTCTGGAGCGGTGCTCCCGCCCCCGCGGTGCTTGTGGAGGAGGTGGACCGGGGACAAGCTGCCCAATGGAGTCGCTGCCCGGCTCGACATCGGGGTTGCTGCCACCGAGCTCAGCCGGGATTGATGCTTCACATGTTTTTTCGCCGTCTGGTGCCAGTTGCGCAACGCTGCCGCCACACGATCGTTGAATATCGTCGGCTTCATCGTCGATCCCATCTGAAAATTAATTAAATCGAATATTTAATTAAATAAATTTTTAATGTATATGTATATAGTAGAAGTAATTTGGTTGAGTGTGTACGGACCTGAGTGACAAGGGCGTATAGCGGGAGTGTCACGTAGGCGCAGAGTATTTGTATCAAAATCCTGTTTTATTCACAATTATATATATATATGATCATCTTAATTAATAAAATAAAATTAATAGCTTTAACCTAATTTTTAAATAAAAAAAATAACTCTTACATACCCCATCGAGATTCTGATCACGATATCCTCTACGTGTTCATGGAAGCATGAATGTAACCCAAATTCGTACTGTACAATTCAGAATTATATTGAGTTAATTAATTATATATATATATATATTTGAATAGTAACAAAAATACCCAAAATAATTAAATTAAGTTAAAATGAATAATTACCCAAGTCCAGGCAAACAAGGCCAGTTGAAATGCATTCTGTAATATCCAAATTGAATAAAGTTAAAATCAGCAAAATATATATATATATATATATTCTTTGATCAAATAATAATAATAAAAGGGTACCTGAAAAAGTACGAAATTGATGAGGTATAGGAGGAGGCGCGGTTTATTGAACCAGAAGAGGTCATCGCCGGGCTGGACCACAGGGACTCCCTTTACGACTTCACCTCTCTCCTGGATCCGAAGTCCCATTTTTGTAATAACCACTTGTAGTTTTGTTCCCACTAGCAATATTATCTGTTCACATTTGTTTGTCATTTTATTTAAAAGACAATATGCATGCAATCATAATACTCCATCTTTTTATATATGAGAAAAAATAGAAAAATTAGTAACTATACTTACAATCAATGGAATGAATGGTAGCCAATAGTAGGAGTACCAGCCTACGCGTACACATATTCCAAATTAATAATATTAATTAATTTAATTAATTAAATTGTTAATTAAATATACTCACCGTGGGTGTTGAAGAGCAGGAAGAGCACCGCGAAGAGCCAAATCGGAGGGCTGGAAAAGCAAACAATTTATTCATTTTCAATTTTAATAATTAAATTTAAATTTAGAATAAATTTGTTTCAGCATTCAAAATAAAATTACCTAATTCCAACCACCACTTTGAAGTCCTCTTCAAGCGATCTATTGATATATTTCTGAAAATCAAATTTGTTGTGGGTATTTGGAGACAGGTGTGCCTGAAAAATAAGTTACAATATAATAATAATAATAATAAAGTTAATAATACTATTAATTTAAAAGAGAATTACCATAATGAAGCCATGGCGTAGAGTCAGATAATCAACTTTAGGGACAGACCTGACAAATTGTCTAACGAAACTAACCTGCAAAAGAAGCAACAAAAAAATATAGCTCTATTTACATGTCATCTTTTTAAAACTATTATATTAAATAATTGATTTATCTTATAAAATATCAAGTGAAATATTTAAAACCCCAAAAGCTCCTATCTAAAAAAAAAGCAGCTGATTTCAACGAACATTAATGCCTCGATGAAACGTCAATAAAAAAAAAAAAAAAAAAGATTGATGATTTGCTGGTCAATGAATTGGTCTAAATGGGAATCAGGAAGTCAACAATTTGGGTCTTGAAAAAGTCAAAATTAAATGAAACGTCAGAAGATGCATAATTCGGGTATGAAGATTGAAGTCTGTCCTTTTCTTACAAATCAATCAATGATTAAATTGGCATTTCCTGATTTTAACTAACAATTCAATTCCTAAAAATCTTCCAGACAAAATAGAATTTTCCATCGTATTTAAAAACTAATAATAATAATAATAATCAATAAGTATGAAATTTGGGAATTATTATTACTATACATTTCAGGAATAATTAAATGTACGTATGCATGTGCTAATATTGGAACAAAAACAAATGAGGGATAATAATTCCCTAATTTTCAATGATAAAATAACATATTTTCAAAACAGGAAAAAAATAAAATAAAATACAAAATACATTTTCATGGATAATTTTATCCCAAATATGGGACGGACGGTGATATATATTTCAAGACATATATTGCCATTTCTAGATGGAAACTTATACACCTAAGTCTTATGCCATATCATATATATTTAAATCTTTTGTTTTTATCTTTAATTTTTAATATTTCAAGATTTCTGTAATTTTTCCTTTATTATCCATAATCTTAAAATAAAAAAGTCAATGGAGAGATAGACCTAAAAATATGCATGAAAAGTAAAGTAACAAAAAACAATTGGAGTGAGAGAAGAGGAACATAAAATTATACTCTATTTCTATATGGATTATATAATTTTTTTAAGGCTATTTATCAATAGTAACTAAAATAAACTTTATATCAACATTATTTATCAATAGTAATTTTTTAAAAGTATTATATTAAATATATATATTTTTTATAAAATATATCATCAAGTATATATTTCAAGTTTCACATCAAATATTATTTGTTTTTTACTGTTAAAATATTTTCAAAACTTCCGAGTAACAGAAAATTAATAATCAGAGAATATATAGTTAATGCTTAAGTATTGTCGTTTATAGAAGTTTTTGCAGAAAATACATATGCATGTAATGTAAACAAGCTATGACAAATTTGGAGCTTACAACCTATAGGTTGTTTACTGTATAATTTATAACAAATAAATTCAAATTATTTTTTATTATTAAAATAGGTCGATATTTATAAGTTCCCCGGGTATCTTTATTATTCCCCCGCCGTAGAAGTAAATTTTTTTACTCTTTTAGGTAAAAAAAAAATAGAAAAATTGGTGTTTTTTTTATTAAAATTAAAATTAAAATAAATTTAGATGACAACAAAAGAAAAAATAAAAGTAAAAATAAATTTAAATGACAAAGAGAATATAATATAATATAATTAATTAATTAATTAGTCGAGAAAACTTACAATCCAGAGAAGAACGGGAGTATTGCTCCAGAAGCTTAAGTGCCTCCTCCCAAATGATGTTTCTCTGGCAAACCGAAATCTTTCGGGATCTGCAATATCATCAAACAAATTAATTAATTAATAAATAATAAACAATACGTATGTACGTACGTGTATATATATATATATATATATGCATGCATACATATATCTACGTATATTATACATAGTACATACCGTGTGAAAATTGGTATTCTGCAGTTCTGGTTTCTTTTTCCCATGATTTCCAGCGTTTCATCTAAAACAGAAAATTTTGATGAAATGAAAGAGTTGGAGAGTAATCTAGAAAAGATTTGATGGATTTATGGAACAATACCTTAGCTCTCCCCAAGGCCAGCGTCGCAATACAGTAAAGGACATGGAAAATGGCGAGCACAAATATGAATATGTGCAGTTGATGAATCCCATCTGTTGATACAAATGGAACTTTCCCCTGAAATTCATGTGTTAATTTGCTTCCATGGTACCATTTTCATCCATGTCTATATATATATATATATATCATCAGAATTTCGAAAAGGAACAAAAGCAGAAGAAGATGCAAGTGCATTAAACATGAAATGATGTTTGGGAATAATTAACTATTCTGACTAAGAATTTGGGAAAAGTCTGGTAGTACCTTCTCGGCGCATTTGTCACTGCCGCCGGCGGCGAGAATTCGGCGGAAAGGACCTCCGGCGTCGGCCATGAGAAGCTTCCGGCGGTGTTCATCTCCTTTGCCGTCTTCCTGCTTGTTCTCTTCCTTTTTGCTGCACGGATGCCAGCTGTTACCAGCGCTCTTCGATATGCATATGTTCGAAATTGGACTTTGCCCAACCGTCAAAAGCAACGATATGAACCCCAGCAGCATCAATTCTTCACCAGAATAAGCAAATCGCCATTAGAATCCGATGAGTGGTAATCAAGCTCGAATCAATGGCTCACAATCAATGCCAATTAACAAACAATTAATTATAACGATAAGCAGTTAAGCACACCTGATTTGACCTTTTCTAGAGCTTCATACAATGCTCTTTTCTGCTTCGACTTTAACCACTGACATCATCCACAATTACACCAAAGTAATTAGTCAAAAAACCCTAAGATAAACGCAAATCACAACATTATAATAAAATAGGTTCCTGAATCCTTTCAACAAAAATTCAAAATCAAATCGTCGCAGTATACCTTTCCAATCAAATGAATTATGTACTCAATCACAATCGAAACCGCCACCAGGACGAAGCAAACGACCGCCACCGCCCACGTCGGCGTTTGTTCAAGCGATCTTCCCCCACCGCCGCCGGCCATTCCTGCACCTCCGATCCCCGCCGCTGCAACTCTATCCCCAACTATTCCAAACCGCAATTACACAAATTTCTGCTCTTCCGACGCACAACAACATCAATCAATCAACGCAATGACTTCAGCTCAGACTGCAGTCCTCGACAACAATTGGGGAGTGCAAGTCTCCCCAAATAATTAAATGAATCTCAGAACAAGGAAGAAAATGTGTGAAGAGAAGCGTATATGTACTTAAGGAGGACTTGATGGGAACAAAACGTTACCAGTAGGGGCAAAATGGTAAAACCGTGTGGGAAGACTTGGACCAATAATACGCGTGGGTGAAGAAATGGGAAATTCTTGACTCAATCAAATTCTTTTGGATGAGTTATGCAAAACAGAGACAGAATTAATAATTTTACACTATCATATATATATATATATATAATCAAAATTCCTTTTCCCTTTTTGGGTTTCAATTTTTTTTGTTTTGTTTTTAGTTTAAAATCATTAAGTTCGTTTTAAATATCATTTCCCCGACTCGTTATTGAGTGCAGTGGCTTGCTTTTCACCGGCACATCTTGACCGTTCGTTACCGTATTCTTAAGATCATTTTCATCCGTTGGATCTTTTTGCGTAGTTGAGCTTGAGCCCACGCATTATTTTGATGGGACGTTCGAATGTTTAGGGTGTGTTTGTCCGGTTTCAAATTTTGAATTGAAATTTAAATAATAAGAATTCTGAATTTGAATAGTTGGATAATGTGATATAAATAGGTGTTGATGTTATGCATTAAATGTATAATTAATTTTTAGTATAATATAAAAAAAATAGATGTTTGATTTGATATTTTTGGGGAAAAACTGGGATAAATAGTAAATTTAAAATTCAATCCCCAAACAAATATACCCTAAAATTAAAATTAGGTCACTTGGTCTTTTACGAAAGATTAAGAAAAATAAATATTTTATTAAAAAAATAATAAATATTTGAGGATATTTTTGTAAACTTTGTTAGAAATTAAAATAAATTAAGAGATGAAATGTAATAAAATTAATGGTATTTGTTGTAAATAAGTGTTAAATAGAGAGTGATAATTAACTATTAATTTTTTAATTTTACCAAAATTAGTAATAAAATAAATATAGCAAACAAATTAAAAAAAAAAAAAGAATACATTTCGGACGGAGGGATTATTATTTTTTCAAATTTGCGCAAAAGATAAATATATATATATATATATGTTCTCCTTATCCTCCGATAGAATTATATAAATCTTGTTAGATATAAAAATTAAACGTAATAGTTCATTCGTCCTGTGTTATTGTATACATATTTCAATCTTTGTCAGACTTGCATTAATGTATATATTTCTTTTTTTAGTAACTATGTATCTCTTGTTTCTATAAATACTCATAGTTTATCATCATATAATTATTTTACATTAAAAAGTAAAGACGTAATAGTCTTTACACTACTTTTAACTACTCACTACAATTAAAATACTATAATTTTTTTAACTTCGCATCAAAAGTAAATGTATATTTTATATTGAGACAGAAAGAATACTTTTTTAATAATGAAGTAGGGCATATAAAAAAATAAAATAGATGTATTTTAGAAAATTTATTAAATATGTAATAAATATAGTGGAATTAATAACTAAAAAATTAATAACAAATTGATTATTATTTGTTAAAATAAAAGTAATAAAATTGTGAATAAAAAATTATTAACTATAAATAAATTGTGAATAATTTTAGCTGATAATAAAAAAAAAAATTATAAATTAGTGTGTTTCTTTGGTTTCATATGAGAAATTTTAATTTTAGTTTAGTATTTATTAAAAATAGATTTGAGATTCTAATCCCTTTAGCATGGGAGTTGCAACATTAATTTCAATGCAGAATACTCAATAATATTAAAATAATATTTAATGAAATATTTTGTCAAAAAAAAATATATATATAAGAATAATTTTTTTAAGAAAAAAAACACAAACTTCAAATATTAAAATAAAAATAATAAAAAATACTCCATTTGTAGTACTCCGTCCCTTCATTTTGAAATGTAACACTTTTTTTTACACGAAATTTAAGAAATAATAGTATTTTAATTGCATTGGATAGTTAAAAATAGTGTCAAGATAATTTTGTCTTTACTTTTTAGTATAAAATTAATGATGTTGTGATATCCCGGCCTGCCGGCCCATAAACCACGCAAAGTCGGGTATGTCGAAATCGTAGACTGGTCCTACAGGTCAACACGAGTTCTTTCAGGACGTTTCTGTCCTCACTCATGTGCACCAAGAGAGTCTTCATAATGGGTCAACCATCCTGAAATTGCTTAAGGGAGAACACATTTAATTCTAGAGTTCTTTAAGTAGGACTTTCGAAAAAAATGTGCACATTGTTGATATGAATAGTGTATTCAATTCATTTAGTTACTATTCAATTTCAAATAGTCTGGCATCGGCTCATCCACGGGACTTGGCCTAACACTTACCCAACTTCGGGGGTATTACATTATCCTCCACTTAAAAATGCAACATCCACGTTGCATCCTAAGGATCTTCAACTGCTAAGCCCGTCATCCAACGGTTGCGGGTTGTCACAGGTTGGCTCTTATACCAATATATGTACGGACAATTGGGCAAAAATCCCTCTGTCCATTTATCATTTGGGATTCAGTCCCTAATGATAAAAAATTGGTCTCCACTCCCCCCTTTTTCCTTCTTCCTTCTTCTTCCTCCCTAATCGTATCTTTCTTCATTCTGTTTCTCTTCGCGCAAAAAATTCTTGTCAATCCGTTGTCCTCGTCCGTGAGCTCGAAAGCCACATCCCGCACAGGTAAGGTTCTTAATTGTTAGCCCGATTTTACATCGCCGCTTCTTGTCTGGTTCGATTGAAAAAATTCCTAGGGCACTCTCCGAATCCTGTTCCGGTTCCCTGTCGTCGGCGGTCGGTTGATTCGGTCGAAGAACTACCAAAGGCTGTCACCGGTTCCGTGGCCCGTATTTCTTGGTCTCCGGTGAAATTAGATGTACCAGGTGTGTTTTTGTGTCGGTTGATTCGGTCGAAGAACTACCGAAGGCTGTCACCGGTTCCCTGGCCCGCCTTTCTTGTTCTCCGGCGAATTTAGATGTACCAGGTGTGTTTTTGTATCGATATCTTAGTTGGAAAATTATTATTTGGAAGAAAATGTTTGGGTATTATTTTGGGTGATTTTGATAATAAATTTTGTTGTTATTTAGGGTTTAAGGGTAATATTTATTTTGTGAAATGGGTAATTTGTTGCTATTGAGGATCAAGACATTACTAGAAGGGAGACTTGGACTAAAATCCCTGTCAGTGTATTTTGCTTGCAATTCAGTTCCGTAAGAACATATGATTTTAGTGTATTTTGTGTAAGATTATCTAATCGCCCATACGACCTAATATAGTTCATACATTCATTGGTTGGATCGCTAGGTTCCGATGGACATGGAGCAAAGTAGTCTGAAATTATTAATTATATGTTCCTACGAAGGTGAGCATCATGTAATTCGTTTAGAAGAGGGCACCACGCTGGAGGATCTTTACCGGAATATATCGAAAAGATGGAATAAAGTGAGTATTGAGGCGGTAAAACTCCAATATATTGCACCTATTCAGAAAAGCTACGTGACGTTATTGTGTGACGATGATGTCGCCAATATGTGGAGAATGCATATCTTGTTAAAGGTAATGTTTGTGGATATGATTGCACGGTGCAGAAGCGAGCACCAGAGCGTGCCTCTCCGAAGCACGGTTGGACGCAGGTACGTTACTCATCATTTGTAATTAAGTAGTCTTTATTAAACTTTGTTATAGAATGCAGTCACAATTGTTCCTTATGAAAGAATGCAGTCTGTAAGCACTTATAATGCAGTATGTAAGAATGCAGTATGTAAGCACTTATAATGTCATGTTCAACACATCTAAAAACATATTGTTTATAGGTTACGTTAGTAATTATTCTTTTATGATATTGGCATACAACAATACCGTGGTATATTGTTGCGATGTTGTTTGTAGGTAGTAAGTATCCACCTCCGCGATTTTGTAGTAGCGCGGTGCAGAACGAACCACTAAAGAGATTGTAAAGATATGTAGTGGGGATATAACGTCTTGAAGGTATTTAACGATTTTCACTCCTTCTTCACACGCCACTGTCAATATCATCTAGCAATCCGGTTTAGGTAGGTGTACCATGATCGATGCGTTGAAATTTCTGTAGCCCATGGCATTTACTGCATCACGTAGCCTGCTGCGGTGAATAGATGCAGTTGTTCTTTTAAATACCCTGGATGACACGGTAGGTAACCATAGACACCGTGGACATACTCGGTTGAGTAAGATGGGTAACCCTGTTTTTCCATTTACTCTGAAAATATCTATTACCATATAAAATTAGAACTACTTACATCTGATATAATTTTCATTCTTATTATTGTATTTGTAATGTAGGGGTGAGGCCGAATGTTCTGGATTGAACGAAGATTGCGCCGATGGTATCTTTATTCCCGACGAAAGTACTAGTCTAATTGCAATGCAGAGATGCATTGTCGGGGAAGGTCAGACATTCAAGGGACCGCAGGAGTTTAGAAAGTTACTGAAGAATTATTGTATTGCCACTCAGAAACACTTCAGGTACCAAAAGAATGATTCGAGCAAAATTATTGCGGTGTGCATCGACAAAGGCTGTGGTTGGCGTATTTATGCATCCTTCCATGCTCGTGATGCATCATTCAGCATTCGTAAGTGCAATTTACATCACACATGCACTATGAGTCTATTGCAATCAAGAGATCATCCAGCAGCCGATGCGAACTGGATTTCTGAGGTGTACAAAGATAAAATACGTTCTATGCCAGCGTATAAGGCATCCGACATCCGGGAGCATATCCAAACAGATTATGGGATTGACGTGAAATATCATAAAGCATGGCGTGGCAAAGAGAATGCGATAAGGGCAATTAATGGTGGAGGTAGAGACAGTTTCTCACAACTTCCGTGGTACTGTCATGCACTTCGGGAGTCAAATCCGGGAAGTATTATAGACTGCGAAGTTGAGCAGGCAACCAAACGTTTCCAACGCCTTTTTGTTTGTTTAGGTGCATGCCGGCTGGGTTTTTTGAGGGGTTGCAGGCCCCTACTCTTTCTTGATGGGACACATATAAAAAACAAACACAAAGGGTGTCTGCTAAGTGCAATTGCAGTGGATGGGGATGATGGGATGTTTACTTTAGCATTTTCTGGTACGTAATTTGATATTAGCTACAGTTGTCATTTTGTTAGAATGCTGGGTATAGGTGTTCGTGTATGCTGTTTTCCATGCTCTCTTTAGGCACGTATGTACCCTTATACGTTGGAAACCTTTGTAGTTATTTGTGTTCTAATTTGTTGACTTGCAGCTGTGTCTACGGAAAATGATGAAAATTGGGAGTGGTTTTGCTGGAAGCTGCGATCTGTTTTAGAATGTGAGGGACGCACGGATTGGAAACAGTACACATTCTTCTCGGATCGGCACTCGGGTTTACTAAAGTCAATCTCGTGCGTCTTTCCCGGAGCACATCATGCGTACTGTCTCCGACACTTAGTGGACAACTTCCGTACCCAGGTATATGTACGTCAATATTAATTTGTAATGAACATCACTGGTTATGATCAGCCATAAAATGTCTTTTTTTTAGGTTATGCGGAGATACCCAATGCATAATAAGAAGCGATAGACCGCTGTCTTCAATAAGGCCGCCTATGCTCCGTTGAGGAGAGATTTCGAAAACCACATTAGTTCTGTGGTCGAATCAATGCCATTGGCCAGGGACTTCATTACCCAATCACACCCAGAATGTTGGGCAAATTCACTATTCAGAGGCACTCGTTGGGGAATAATAAATAATAACATTGCTGAGTCATGGAATAGTTGGGTGAGGTCCGCGAGGTCAATGCCATTCGTTGGAATGTTGGATACCATTAGAAGGCAAGTGATGGTAATGATGAATGAACGCCGCGAAAAGTCGGAGATAATGCACGAAAGGCTCTGTCCAAAACAGGAGAGCAAGTTGGCACTATCGTACATGGCGTCTCGACGGCTGCAGTGCAGTTCATCCTCTAGAACTGTATTCGAGGTAACAGATTGTAATGAAAGATACGCAGTCGATTTGGAGGCGCGCAAATGCTCTTGTCGAGAATGGCAAATGTTCCGATTGCCCTGCAAGCATGCCTGCGCTTGCATTGAAAAATGCAGTATGTCAATTTATGATTTTTGCGATCTTTACTATAGCATTGAATGCTACAGAAAAATGTACCAGGAGCCAATAAATCCCGTACCGACGCATGATATGGACGTGATTGTTGAAATTGGGGCGGACCAAATTCACCCTCCTCCGTCGTCTGTCCAACCAGGCCGGCCAAAGAAGCGAAGGTTCGAGTCCCAGCAGGTAAAGAATGCACGAAAATGTGGTCGTTGTGGGCGTCTTGGACATAATAGAAGAAGTTGCAAGCAACGAATAGATTAGCGAACCTTTTTTTCATTGTACATCTTTTTGGCTTCCAGGAGTATATATTAAGACAGTAGGTACATATTCAATAGCTATATTGTAATTGTTTTTTGTGTCTCTAGGATGTAACCGGTTGGATCCATCGACTTATTTGCAGTAGTAAGTGGTATGTAGCCCTCTCACGCAGGTATATGATGAAGTTGTGAAGGTTCATAGTTATATTCTGCAGGTATATTTTTCATGTACTGAGGCATTTGATTATGTAGCTCTGTAGGGACGGATGGTTAATGTAATATCTAATTGTTTTGAAAGTACATGCTATCCTATTTTTGGGTTATTACTAGGAGGTATAGTTGTTGTATTAAACTCGTCATACTAACCAACTGCATGTGTCATACAACTTAAGTATTTGTTGATGCCTTCTTTAACCATCAGCAGTAAATACATGCTATTTGAAGAAAAGAAAAAAAAAACCGTTTCCCCAGCCACAGGTAACCAGGGCATACATAATTGCAACTGAAGTATAATGTCACGGTTGTTGTAAGTACGCAATAGCTTACAGAGGGTATATGAATAATGATTCCAACATATAGGGTTGCGGTCCGAGTAGTAACCATATTTTATTTTGTTTATACAGTATTCAAATTGTATTACCGTGTAATAACTTGGAGGCGTAGTATTGATTAAAATTCAGCACACAGCTACGTACCAGACTTCCATATGCCACACAACTATATTGTGGTTATATTATCGTGTCTATTCTATTGTGTTCTAATTCAATTAACGGGTAAGCGATGTAAGTATAATCTGTGGCCTAAAACACGCCATTCAAGATTATGGGGTTGACGAGAAACGCTACCATGGTTAAGCCAATACACTCTTACCATCAGTTCATGAATATTTTAAGAAAAAAGGCCGAGTCCCCACCCGCAGGGTACCAGAGCATTTGAAATGGTAACGGAAGTATAAAGGCTATTTCCGTAGGTACATAATAGATACTATAGGGTATTTTTAGTAATGACTCCGTTACTTATGCATCTGAGCTAAGTACCAGACTCGCTGAACGGGGTACACAGATTGCGTATGCGGGCATCTGTGTTGTAGTTGTAGGTATCGTAGTTGTAGGTATAGTAGCACTTATCTGTAACCACGTGTTGCTTAGCATTCCGCAGGAAATAGTTGATTGTAATCTAGACGTTGGCCCACACGCAATTACCAGACACCTATGTCCCGCACAAATATTTTGTTGTAATATTATCATGTTTTTTTAGTATTGTTTGTTTTAAATTAACGAGTAAGCCCTTGCAGTATCTCCGGTCGATTAAAACATGGCGTCCAGTAGGGTTTTATGAGAAACGCCGACACGGTTGAACTGATTCAAAGTGAACGCTATTTCAGTGATCAGTGCAAAAGAAATGACCAGTCCCACAAACGCAAATGACTGGAGCATGTAATATATAAATGGAAGTACATACTAGTTTTCCGTAGGCACATAAAAGCTATCAACGGGTATCACCACACAACGCAGGTATATAATGAAGATGACAAATCAATCCACATAAAAGACATTTACCAATTCCATCACCTCGATACACAATACAATAACTTCCCAGATCAATCCAAATTGAAGACATTAAACAAATCCATCACCTCCACACAACACAATAACTTCCCAGATCAATCCAAACTGAAGACATTCAACAAATCCATCACCTCGCCACACAACGCAAAAACTTCCCAAATCAATCCAAATTCATTACATGTGTTAACCTACCCTATTTTTCCATCGGGGTCTACGTTTCAGAAGAGGGGACCTTTCAATATCCTCGCCGCAATCGTGCCTCGGTAGCTCTTGACATCGCCGAAGTCCTCGCCGAGGACACCAACGACATTGACATCTGGACCTGCCCGCGCATAACACTCTGCGAACATGCAGACTAAAGGTCCACAGTCCAACGTTTCACCCTGGTGTCGGCATCTAATGTACTCGGGCATGTCGCTGACCATAGGCCATAGTCGTGACGCGTTCATATACAACGATAAAAATCGCGTCTGCACAAATAACGTTACTCTTTCGTTAAGGCATTCACCCTACCCATAGGCATTCACCCTTCCCGGACTTGAAGTCGCTTATAGACTTCAACAGATAACGGTGACTCGCGGGTCCCCACGCGTAGTCACCAATCGCACTCAGGTCTTCCACATACGGTAACAAAAAAAGGGGTACAGAATAATTCGCAGAACAAAATAAAATATTTGCAAAAACAAGCAAAATAAAAAGACGAGCAACATCCGCAACAGAAAGAGGCTCCAGCCCCTGCAACAGAGCCTCACGCAGCTTCTGCAACACCTGGCCGCGGGTTACAGAACGTGGCTTGCTCCCAAAAATTCGAACAAACCATTCGCTTTCGACCGATGTGTTTTCGGTCACGTAGACTCCTTTCGCATGTAGTCCTAAGACTACAGAATATTCTTCAACGTCAAACGGAAGCTCAATGTCACTTCCAATCTTGAAGGACATAGATTCCGAACTAAAGCTATTCACGAGGGCAACAAGTCGGTGCCATGGAAACTTCATTTTCGGGCAATCCAGAAAATGCCCGAATGGTGTCATGTTTATAGCTGCGATGTGTTGGTCTGTCATGTGTTGCTTCAGTTTGGCCAGCTCATTATGAAAAAAAGGTAATGCAAATCGGCTGATCACCGATTTGTGCTCCTTGCCTGGCCTGTAAGTAAAAACCATAAGTCCACGTTATCCTAATCTCTAATTTAGTTAAAAGTTTTTCACAATTTAGCAGGACTAAAAACGCATTCCGAGTATACAACAGTGCCGTTCAGGTATATTAATTGGCAAATTAGACCAAACAAATGAAACTCCTGGTGCCTAATATTACCGCATTTATCAACCCACAAATATGACTATTTACCGAACAATCCACCAAAAAACCTAAAATATGCAACTTCGAGTAACTAAACAAAATATACATCTCCAAAATTAACAAAATCAAAGATAAAACAGATAAAATCACCCAAAATCGGCCGAACCGGGTTTCCTGGCCAAAAATTCGAACAATTTCAAACCACCCGTTGAACAAACACAACACCGAACACCCAGGGCTCCTCATCACTGAACCGAGGCATACAAACACGGGACCAAGGCTTCTACCCCAAACAATCGGGTAAACTACGATATAAAATTCGATTGTCAACAAAATCATAAAACGAAAAGGGTTTCGACCAGACACTTACTTTTTTGAACTCCTCGTGGGGGATCGCGGCGGATTCGCGGTTTTTCTCACCATTTCGCTGAACAAAATGTCTTACTGCTGATCGTCGAGTTCGCAAGGGACGATTTCCTTCTCGAAGAACTAGGGCTTGAACGGAGAGTGAGTGAGGGGAGTTAGGGAATGTTTCAGTTTTTAAATTGTGCATATTTTCTGTGATTTTTTTTAAAAAAAAAATCACAAAATAAGGTACGCAGTATTTAAATGGAATTATCTAATCGTATACTGGGGGTAGAGCGGGAGGTAATGTAGGTATATATTATAAAATTGGGAGTATTTATTAATCAATCGTAAGTACATGTTGCATATACAATTGTGATTGAGTAGAAAATACAAGAAGGGAGTTATAACATATCTAATCAATAAAGTAGGGACTGCAGATCAATTAATTTACAATGGGGACTGAATTGCAAGCAAAATACACTGACAGGGATTTTAGTCCAAGTCTCCCATATATGTAACACTCCAAATTAAAAAAAAAAAAAAAAAAAAACCGTGACGTGTCACACGTCAACACCATAACAACATCACGTAAAAAAATATATAAAAACATGACGTGCACCAATGCAAAGGCTAAACCATCATAATAGTGGATGTAAAAGTTTTCTTTGCAAAAATCATAAAATATATTTTCCGACACCCTTAAGCATTTCAAAAATATGTAATCGTAAGAAGTCTTTACATGTATGAAAAAGTCTCAATGCATCTCAAAAGTAGGGATCTTAAAAATAGGGAGTATGTAAATTCATAAGTTCGAACATTATCCAATAAAAAGTCATGCATGCTCGATAAAGTCACATCCCTATGATGCATCAAGTGATGAAAGTCCGGAAATTAACTCTGCATGGAAGATGATAGTAATCATCAGCTATAGCTGAGTAAAAAATTAAATATGCAATGCACGAAATAATTTACCAATAATATATGATAGCCATACAACAACTA